CTTCCCTAAACCGGTAAGAAAATAAAAGTAGATGAGATGCGCGGTTCCGAAGCAAGAACAAGCCTCACAGACATTCTGGGACAACACAATAGAAAAAGCTCCAGACAAAAGCTTTCTTTCCGTGAAGATTGTTTTCCTTTCCTTATATAAGGGCAGATCCAATTTGTGTTTTTTTTTTGGTTTTCCCTGATGGGGCTAATTTTTTAGGTTTATCGGTATTTACCGAAAATACAGAAGCCTAGTTTTAACTAGGCTTCTGTATTTTCGTATTTGTGACTAGGCTTCTGTATTAACAGAAGCCTGGTCACAATCGACGACTCTTTCGTGACAAGCGAACTACCAAAAAGGTCGGGACGCCAGCTGCCTTACCACTTCCTGCGGTTTGTCCGTGGCTACGTGCTGGTCGACGGGTGCAGACCTGACGAAGCGAGCGGCTACGGACTGGCAGACTGCCGAGCCGACGTAAGCTGCAGGGACATTGGTTGAAGCCGCGAGGATGGCCCGCAGCCTCTGCCACCAAGGGGAGACGGAGGTGGAAGCTGTGAACTCGGCGTCCTCCCCTGAAACGGAGAAGTGGGTGATCGTGTCCGTGCCTGGCCCTAGCAAGCTGGGTGAAGAGGATTTGTGCATCTCTCCTCTTTTAAATGCGTGGCATTTATGGGGCTGCCTCTTAACGGTTTTCTGTCAGTCTCCGAGATGTAGCCTCAATGACTCAATGACTGTAGGCCTGATTGTCAACGTAAATGTAATAGCGGACGACGTCCCAGTTTGAAGAACAACGCAGAAAAAAATTGCTCAAATTCATGCCGTTCTTAATTGCCTGGAGGGTCTTCAAAGGCGTATTTGATTATTTCGCGATTATAACTGGAACTAGTTTTTTTTATACATCAAATAGAAAGATTCAAAAATAATAAACACCATAAAACCCAAAATTAAATTTTTTGCAAAATACTGTTGTTTTTTGACCCACATCTTTCCTTAAAGGGGTAGTCCACCGATTTTTTGAGCTACCTCAACTAACTATATTTTCTGACTCCCCGGCCTTTACTCTCTCCAGTATGCTATTTAGAATCGCGAGATTCATAATAGGTATTGTGAAATCGGCAAATGAAAATGATGCAAAAACCAACATTCAAATATACACACACTTTTCAGTGCCGTGACATCAGAGGCAGGCAGGCGTGCCAGTCGAGCAAGCAGCCAAAAAATAGAATATGCCAATCATTTGTTCCGTGCTGGAGCGCGGGTACTGCAGCGAGCTTCCCAAGCATTCATTTGACACCATGAAACTGCTTCGAATCAGTTTAAAACAAAATCTACAGCCCAAAGAGTGAACCCCTGCCTTCCACTGACGTCACTTTTTCATTGTTGCCAGTAGAGACTTCGAGCTTGAAAAACACGGTGAAAACCAAAACTGTAAATTCAATAACTTCGCGAAAAAACAATATTTTGACCTAATATTCGGGATACTATTTTCGCGATGTTTGTTGGTTAGTTTAGCAAAATTTCAAGCAAATCGGAGACAATGAAAAAACCTGTGGAGTACCCCTTTAAGGGGCCCCGCAAGGACTTTTTTACTGGTTTTTAATTTGCACCGAACCTGAGCACACTGAACATAGTAACTTAGTGAAGCTTTTTTTTTTTTTTTTCTCGAAATTCGCTTTATTTTAGAAGTTACAGGCAAATTAAAATTACAAAAACAAGCAAAAAATAACCTCCCTCATGACGTCCTTGGTTGCTTGAGTGGCCGTGAACTAGAGGAGGAGCAGTGAGCTCAGCGAGAGCTCACGGCTGCTGCACTCCGTGTCGACGGCGCGAGAGGGCGCCACTAAAGCATGTTCTGGATAGGCTGTATGCAGCGACACAGCCAGAGCGGCTCTCACTACATTTGCTGTGCGATTAAACACTAATTCGGCATAACACTTCATTGGTCACAAACGACAGCAAACATGGGGTAAAGATCAGTTCAAAATGGGAGCCACTTCGCACTGCCACACTGCGAAATGGCCAAACCGCAAGACAAAGCTTCTTGCCGAAGGCCTTCGGAACGCTCGGAGCCGGTCGGATCCTCCTGTCCATACGACCGCAGCGCCGCCGCGTACATCCGGGACCTTTCCGTGTCGGCGCCTGATCCCACTACTCCTTTCTAGTATGTGCCGGCTTTTTCCACTGCTTGGTGGCGGGTATGTCGACGGGTCATTTCTTGCTTCTGTACTTTATAAACTGCATTTGTTTCTTTTCTGACCTAAAATACTGAACAAGAAGTACTTTTATAAATAATTGAAACGGTTCGTGCCACTTATATTTTGTATTTAGACTAAAAAGAAGCTTTTAGCGGCTCTGACCAGACCTGGTCCTGGAACCTGGGTCCTGGGTCCTGGGACCAGCAGCCCAGGACCAAAGACGTCACATTTTGCGTGCTTTCGGTTCTGCGGGTCGCCCTCGTCGGTGGAGGAGGTTTCCACGTCATCTGGTTAAAATATGGCACACTAATATTTAGTTACTCTCTCCAGGCCCGCTGGCTTGCCCGAAACCCAAGAGATGTGGTAACCGCAAAAAAGGTAGACGCTTAATAATGATTGCAGGGCCCCTTTAAAAGTATGAGAAGCCCCTGGAAACAAGGTGAAATATCTACAGAATCCGGATATTTTGGACGTACCAGCAAGGTCGACGAGTGATTTGAGCAGCTTGCCGAAGAGCACCCAGCTTTTCCTGCTGTCGATTGAACGCGTGCCCGACAGCCATTCCAGCATCACGCATTGCTGCGGAAAGAAGCATTACCCCTGAAACGCTTTTCACACGGTCACGTCACTGCAGGCACCGAAGACGCAACATACCGGGGGTAAGTAGGGGTTCTCCGTTTTCAGGGTTTATTTCCTTTCGAATTTGAGCGTGTTTTTGGGGGGGGGGGGGGGGGGGGGGGGGATTTATATCTTTTTACAGATCCTGTGCTTTTCTGCCTCTATTTTAGATGTTGAACGAAAAGTCTGCGTTTATCGGGGATTGAGTTTAAAGAAAGAGAATATGGCCATGGGGTTTCGCGACCTCCGGGAAACATGCGTGCGGTTAGAATATTTGGAAAACTTTTCGATGCAAATAAGAGAAGGAAACCGGATAAGAGTTTAATTCCCAAGAAAGAAGCAACAACTCAAAATAAATCCGTAGATAAAAAAACGAGACGTCTACAAACCTCTGTTATGCGAAATTAGAGCGCAGCTCTTGAGGAGGAGGAGTGGAGGGTTGGGGGGGGTATCCTTCACCCTCCTCATCCCCCTCCCTTCCCCTCCTCCTCTCCCTTCTTTCTCCTCCTCCTCCAGCTAAATTTAGCTGGAAAATTGACGCCACGTACGTACGTGCTCTCAAACACCAATTCAATTTCTGCGCTACATTTAGAGGGGAATATGAGTTCACTTGACTTCTTGTCACGTCACGTATGAACAAATTCAGTTTCGGGAAAATTGCTGTTGACGTCACGAGACTTCAACAGCAATTCAATTGCCCGCTATTAGTGGGGAACTGAATTGGTGTTGGGGTCACGTGACGTCAATTTTCCCGCTAAATTTAGCGCGGTGACGGCGACGCCGCGACAGCATAGAAACGGCCGCCTAAGAACTGCGTTCTAACATTTCTTTCCGCGAATTTTGGGGTGCTTGTCATTTGAGGACAGCTCTAATTTCGGGTTCTTTTTTTTTTTTTTTTTTTTTTTTTTTAAATCCTGATAAAAAATTGGTTGGTGGTTGCTTTTTGGGGTTTATCAGCATGTATACCAAAAACAAAGAACCCTAAACATAACTAGGGGTTTTGAATTTTTGGTATATACCAATAAACCCCAAATTCGAGCAGTCCTCAAATAAGGAAAACCCAGACTTTGGGGAAAGCAGTCTTTACATACAGCTTTAATTTGCGCCGACCCGGAACAAAGCCACCACTGAACTGTCTGTGAGGCTACTTCTTTCTTTGGGTGCTACATTCCTCATCTCGCTTGCACATTAAGTTTGCTTCTAGACAAGAAGTGTTTGATTAGACAATTAACTATAGTCAGCGACAAGCTAAGAGTTCAGGGGAAGCTCCTCCTAGCTCTTTCCACTGTGGCAGAGCGAATGCTAAAAAGGAGGTCGACCCCTTTCTAACATTCGCTCTGTTAAAGTGGAAAAAGGTGGGAGGAGCTTCCTTTAAATTCAGCCTGTCACTGGCAAAAGGTACCAAGAGTAATTAGTGACTACCACCAAAGGTAACTATTACTACTTTGTCCAATTGGTAATTTGCTTATCACTAGATTGTGACAGCCCTGTCTCGTGATTTTATTTTAGATGTACCAAGCAGTAAGACTGACATCAGTAACTATATATTGACTATTGTTACCGAATTAGTGTTGTCTATGCAAGACTTCTTTGTTTCTTCGCAGTTCTATGTAGAATTGGTAGCAAAGCATATATTTTTTAAATATCTACTGTTGAGACCGGCTATAACGAACTCGGTTATAACGAAATAGCGGCTGCAGCGAAGCGATCCCGATTCCCATTTGCACTTCGTTATAACCGAAGTTGATTATAACGAAATAGCAAATATAGCGAAGTGATTTCCGATTCCCGTTGACTTTGTTATAAACGGTCTCGACAGTATGGCAGACAAAGAGGTTTAATTATAACCATCTCCAAAAGTAACCTACCAGCGATTTCATGACTTCAAAACGTAACAAAATGACTTAACTAGGTACATACAAAAAAAAAAAGCTGTAACAATAGTACAAAATTACTCGCAAAAATATTTAACTGCTAGTAATCGGGTGACCTGCTGGATATCCTAGAGGTCTAAACATAAAACTCCCGCCAGTTCCTCGACATTTTCAACACTGCTCAAAGTTTCTAGAGCATGAAAATTATTTAGTTCTATGACCTACGAGTCAGCTGAAGATGAAAAGCTACGTCCCTTTGGCCCCTGCCGAGTAAAGGCAGTGGATCACAAAATGTGTTTAAATTCCGTTTCACCTCACTCCGATCCTAGGCGGCACACCAGCAAACACTATATATGAAACGTGCACTGCATTTCGGTTCGCTGAGTCTGGGTGTAGAGGTCAAGCGTAATGTTTCTTTGCCGCAGAATGTTTCGTGGAAGCATGCTAGCCCGGGCTGTAAATGCATTCCGAGTTAAGAATGGAAATTTCGGAATTTGAAACAAGCGTGCAACAATAACTTTCATTTTCAATTTTTGATAATGCAATTAAAAATGCAAAGGTGCAAACAAGCTGGACAAGACTGACGATAATAAACCCTGGAGAAGGAGAAGAAGAGGGACAAAGAACAAACACAAACACAGCTGGGCGCTGGTGCACGACTGAAAAAATCCCCCTGGTCCTGGAGAATATTTTCGGTCGTGCACCGGTCACCTAGCTGTGTTAGGAGATTTATGTTCGTCCTTTGTCCCCGTTGTTCCCCTTCTAGGGGGATTATCTTTGTCAGTTTCAATATGTTGCTTCCACCACCTACCAGCAGTGCGGTCGGTGCAATGCCAGACTTGACCAGGGATTCCAGGAGGCAGGAATGGCAGCCCTCTGAAGCCAGGGCTCGTGAAAATAAAAAGTGACCTTCAAGAAAAAAAAAAAAAAAGGAGAGTTGATGCATGCCTTCCACTCTAAAAGTGAGAAGGCAGTGGAAGTTGCATATTCCACTCAAATTAAATACCTTTCAAAACCCCTTGAAGGCAATGCATAAGATGGCAGTACCAGTACTGCATCTTAGCATGTAGCGTTGACCTTTACTATACTAGAAGGCTTTCTTAGCGGCTGCTGAATAATTGCAGCTCCTCCCATTTTTGGGCACTCCTTTTTCCCCCACATAATCAACGATAGAGAAAGCCTCGCTGCCGTATTGTCCAAAATACTGTTTTTTGAGAGAACATTATTGTTCCATCCTCGCTTCGTTTGCTTTTGCAAGTTCAAGGTGACCCTACACCAACATTACTCTGTCCGAGTCATATATAATGACTAGGGTATAAACCTAGTCATTATGTGCGAACACAAAATGTGTTTGTTCGAACGTACAAATGCATTCTGCATCAAAGAATGGTACGACGTTTGTGGTACCCAGCTGGTCGCAGGCGGCGTCCTTCTTGAGAGCCACCTCCAGCGGTGACTCCTCGTCCCCGTCCTTGGCCAGGTGGCTGTCTCCGACCTCGAAGCAGTCCAAGAAGACGGAAAGAGAGACGGGGTTCTCGTCGCCAAATGTCACCCTGCGGTCCGCGCGACGCCACAGGGGTTGGCAGCGTTCCACGTGTTCTGCGATGCGGGACAGCTTCTTCGGTTGCACCGACAACTCCTCCGCCAGCTCCTGATGGTAAGAGACGGCAATGCGTCCATAAACTTACGCGCGACGTCCCGACAAAGAAAAATGGCGACGTATCTTTCAATTTATGTACAACGTCCCAATGACGAAAAACGACGTGGCACGGGACTTGTTTCCTAGGCCGTATTGTACGGGCTCGCCGGTGACCTCGTGGTAGCACAACGTGCGGACGAGCAACTGTCGGAGAAGTGCTCCTTGCTCACCTCCACCGTCGGGTCGCTCAACGGCGGCGGGATGCAGTCGTCGGCGTGCGACCTGTCCACGGCCTTGTGCAGCTGGCAGAGTTGCCTCAGCCGCCGGCAGGTCTGCCACAGAAGCTTGGCATCGTAGCTCAGCTGTTCCTCGTCTGTGGGGAGGGAGCGGCTCACGTAGCCGGCGCCATTGAAAAGAAGTTATTACCAGGAACGCAAATAGAACCACAATGAGGGTTTCGTCGTTTCAAGATGACATTATCATCGCGGCCACCATCCGGCCCAGAATTGTGAGCAACTGGCCGAACCAATCAAAATACTAAAGAGATTAGAGACCCACTTCGGAGCAACCTGAAAATTTAGCATCTGGAGTGTCAGCAGCCTCCGGATGCCATATTTCCAGTTTTACCACTAATTTCATATTACCATAACTCTAGTACTAGTAATAAGCTACGTACTGCTACTAGTATGCTATGACGGATAGTACCACATACGCTTGAATTTGTTGGATCTGCTTTTGGTGTTCGTCTCAAAGAAGCTTTTGAGTTTTTGTTCCGTGCGATGTCATCTGTGAGTAGCGGCGTTAACCATAGTTTCTTTCCGTTTTCCTTCCTGCGCACGTGAATAACGGGAAATCTCCAGTTCTAATGTTTTTTCAAGAAACTTATACGTGTGAAGTTTGGGCATGATAACTGACCATTTAAAGACACACTAGTGAAAAGTTTCGGTGGACTCTGTTCGTTGGCTTAATTATAAATTTTTTTTACGCCCGCATAGTGCTCGCAAACACCCTGACAACGTAGATCTGGTATGGTGACCCTATTTATAAGAGTATAAGTCAACCTTTTTATTTTCCTTAAATGTAAAAAATTAAAGGTTGACTTGTAATCGTGATTAAAAAATGTTGACTTACATTCGTGATTAAATTTCGCGACTCTACTGAGTGCATTGAGCTATCGAGCCATCGATCCGGAGTCACCGTAGCGTTTCTTGTTTCCGAAAGCTTTTGGTGCACGAAGACAACTGAAACAGCAGCAGCCCATGGCCCACCATGGCTGCCGCTTGCGCGAGGCCTGAGGGGCGCCTGATCAACTGCCCCTCGGGCCCTGCGCCAGTTGACGGCCAGCACTGCTTGCGAGTGCCCCTTGCACCGCAAGGGGGGGGGGTGGAGGGGGGAGGGAGGGGGGCACGCCGTGATACACCATCCAATGCCATGTGCCTCGCCCCTCCCTCCCCCTTTCGGGGACACGCACCTAAATAAAATATAAAACTCGTTGCAGCTTGCGGCGGCTCACGCGTTTTCGTTTTTCGTCTTTCGTCGCTTCGCTTGTCTTCACCTTCTTTCGTTTCTTGTCATGGCCGCCGTTTTACGACAGTGTCAGCCAGGTATTGTTGCGAGTTTGTATCTCCTCTTCAAAACTGGCTTCAAAAAAGGCTGCATTTCAAATGTGCTTGACAGCACCAAAAGGAACGTCGGCTGGGTTTGCGAGGATGTGGACGAAGCTGACGAAGCTTCCGACGGCAATGACATGTCCCCAAGTTCTGACAGTGATGAAGTTCTTGGCATCACGCTGTGATTTAGCTAAGAGTGCTGTAATGAAAGTATGTTTTCTTTTTTTTTTTTTTTTGCCAAAACTTTATTCTTTATAAAAAAAAAACAAAAAAAACAAAAACAGGTCAACTTCTTATTGAATTTCTCTTTTCATGCTCGGCAAGTTTAACATAATGGCATCGACCTACATTTGAGTAAGTACGGTAATTAACAGACCATTCTTGATAGCACGAATTCAAGGGCAACATTAGGGAACACTCGCACACCTTGTTCCAGCAACTTTGGCTCCAGAACGCCGATCACGCTTGTCACCACGTGCAGAGTTGCCCGGCTGCTGTACACAATCTTCTCCAGGGCCTGAGGGAGAAGCCACATAAATCATGTATTTAGTTAATTATACACATTGCCAGCCACCACTTGGCAGGCAAGGCAGGGGCGAGCATACAGGATGTACACCCCACCCCCACCCCGAAAAAAACAGCATCGTCGAAATGCACGTTCACTTTTTGCCAAAATGTACGGTCAGCGGTCCAAACTAGATTTCAAGTATTCAGAGCTTGTTGTTATCCGGTTTAAAAGTTATAAGCGATATTTGAAAATGTTCAATGGGAAAACGGCGGTTGGAGAAGCCTGCAAATGCCTGGAGGTGAATGTTGTCAGCTACAGGGAACTGGCCCCATTTTTTCGTTGAAAGTTTAAAAATATCATCCCTAACTTTTGAACAAAATAATGTCTAATTATGAATCTTTGGCATCTGGTCCAGACCACTAGCACGCTACGTTTTGGCAGAGACTGAGCATTTGGCAATGCACAGTTTATTTTTTCAATGGAAGACAAAGAACGGACATTTTTTTAGGGCGACGGCATACAGACAAGCAAAAGAACAGTAAAAAAAGCTACAAGAGAGCGAGCAATACGAGACAAAAAGAAAAGTGGATACATCTGTAGCACCCTTCAGCAAAGTGTTCTAGCCATGGAGTGTGTAAGAAGAAATGCTAGCCTACAAAACAAAAAAATTAAAAACAAACCATCGGCTATAGACCATTCCACTAGGAAGAGCGGAGAGCGAAGAAATGCCCTCCCCTCTCACCCAGTGCGTCGTCTGCTCCACCGAGTGGGCTGTACCTAACATCCGGCTGACGTTCAAACTCGGTTTAAAATCGCGTCATCTTGGACATTTCAGGCGCAGATGCACAGATTTTTATTTGCAAGTTATCGTGTAATGCTGTACTCTATAAAAAGAGGGTCCAATTGCACTGTTACCTGTGTGCAAATAAAAAAAAAATGGGACAGGTGTGTCAGAGCGGCCCGTCTCTCCGGCAAAAAGTAAATCCGGTGGCTGTAGCTTTTTTACTATAAAAAAGTTTGTACTGGTGTAGGCCTTCAGCGACAATGAGTGAAAAGCTGGAATAATAAATAAAAACATGCTCTCCTGGCGCAATAGACGCAGTGGTTGGTTGAGTTGCTGGCTGACTCCACTGCTATTGAAGTAACAGAACAAAGATCCACTAGTTCATCATTTACTGAAATAAAACAACAGAGCACTATAGGCTGATTTTGGAGTAGCCATGAATATTCTAAGAACGCAGAACACTTCACAACGGCAGCCACGACCGAGAGTTCGATGTTATGTCCGCCGGTACAGCCCAAAGGTGGAGAACGGCAACCTCCCAATTTGTCGTCTGCTAGTAGAGTTGGGCATTTGCCGTCTCTCTCGTTTTACCCCGCCGAACCTGCTGAACTTCCCGGATGTGCGGAGAGGGCGCTGCGGTTAAACAAAATGGCGCCACCCTGAGAGTGCCGAATAGAATGGTCTATAACAGCTGATGGTTTTCGAGTTGAAGCACCATGCAAGAATGGCTTCCCAATGTCACGGAAGTTTCAATCAGACATAAGAGTCTGGCTACAGTCAACTCTTCGTAATATAGAAAGAAAAGTGTATGCCTACCATGTGCCACAGGTTTATTTTGATTCAGTCTGTGCACTATCTTGCACAGCTTCTGACAGATTTCTGCTGCTCCAAACACGCAAAACGAAAGGGCTTTCGACTAGTATTTATGCGTGCCTAAAATTTTATAGAAACGCAACCTACAGAAATTCAGCTATCTAAAAAATTATAGAATGCTTAAAACTGGGGTTATTCAGCATAAAAACCACACGAGCAGCAGCCACCTGGGGGCTTCTCTGATGACAGCAGAAAACTCTAAACACTTCAGAATTAATGAGTCATCTCAGGCATATCTTTCTTACTATAAAAATGATGAAACCTACTGCAAAACATAATTTTGAAAGCCACCAAAATGTTGAACACATGGTCAAGTAAACCAAAAAATTAACTTCCAAGGTCTCTGTCTTCAGATTCCTTTGTGACAATTTGTTACTTTCTGAAAGGGTTCCCCCAAGCTCCCAAGTTTCCTTGATCATTCCTGCTCACGAGTAAAAAGATCCTCCAGTTAAAGCACAGTTTAGGAAGATCCGAGGCATAGATTCATCCACCACTATGTGCCAGACATTCCCTGCTGCGTGCATTACTGTTTACAAGGTCTCTAGGCTTCTGACCGACTTTATTGCTTCTATGCCAAGACTGGGAAGAATTTTCTGGCTATTGTCAAAGGCGGATAAGTACTCGTCAAAATTAAAAAATGAAAAAAAAAAAAAAAAAAACACTGAAAAAAAAAAAGCATTAAAAAGATTTTAAAAAATAGAGTATTTTTTTAAGCTGTGAAAAGCCCTTTAAAGGGAAGATGATAAGGAAGAAACAAACCTGTTGTTGCACATTGGGTGCCTTCATGTCACTCAATAACCTAGACAGCTTTGCGACGAGTTGTGCTGGAAAAAAAAAGTGCCACGAGAAAAGTTTGTAAGCCTAGCCAGTGCCCACTCAAAGCAAAACTTACGAATCAGCTACGTAATTTTGTGCTATCCACTCGTCATTATACTCGAGCTGAAGCCGTTCAACCATAGTTTCATTTTAATTGGGGCAGTCTAGGAACATATCATATCAAATCAAATCATGTATTGTGTGTCTGCGTACACGGGTGCCGGAGCCACAGACGAAGAGTTGACCTTTGTCGACTCGACGCGTGTCGTAAATATTACTTATTTATTTCTTTTACCTTTTAAACCTATTCAATTAATAGCACCTTCGTGCACGTTTTTGTGTGGTTTGAGTTTCAGTTTGCTCCATGCCATTGTCCACTAAGCTAACACTTTTCTTTTAAACATAAAGTAGCATGCATGAGCAAACAATGAAAAGAATGTTTTATTTACCTGGCAGTGCCACTTGGCACATAATTTTTGTTTGTTCAAGCGACTTTTGGACTTTTGTTTTGGTATGAACGTTTGCCGTTACAGAACAGCGAATCTATGTCGTTCGGCCATGCACTTTGTGGCAAACACCGAGATCCAGGAACTACTAATGAACATTGGACATCCATGAAAACAAGGAAGTTACAGTTCCGAATAAACAAAGGCTGAGTACGGCCGCTCAAAAGAGTGACCTCAGGGTCCGAGGTCGAGGTGCCACTGCATAGTGCCGCTTCTCAAAAGGTACAATAGGAGAAATATGTCACAGGTTGGAAGCATGCTGACATCAATCAACTTTTTGCCCATATAATAGTGTTTTTTTATAAATCAATATTCTTCACAGAGCATGCTACAGTGTGAGACCAAAATTTCCGTTTGGTGTGTGGGCAAAAAAACCAGGCACTCAAAGGGCTAAACAAAGTTATATGGCAAACTGGTAAACAATTGCGTTGCATACGTGAAACGTTGTAGTGTCACGGGACATCAGGTCACGTGATGTCAATTTCCCTGCAAAATTTAGCGGAGAAACTGAATTTGTACATAGGTCATGTGACACAAAATCATGCGACGTCATTTTTCCCAATAAATTTAGCGGGGAAACTGAATTGGCGTTGAGGTCACGTGACATCAATTTTCCCGCTAAATCTAGCGGGGAAACTGAAGTCATGCGATGTCACCCGCCACGGCTTCATGAAGTGCGGCTTTCTCGAAATCCAGAGCCACTACTAGCCAAAGAATGTTTCACATTAAAAGAGAAATCAAATACAGCGATAGAAAATTGCCTACCGTATTTACTCGCAGAATGAACACACTTTTCTTTCCGAAAAATCGATGCAAAGTTGGGGGGGGGGGGGGGGGGGGGCGTTCATTACGCGAAGTAAAATTTTTGCCTCTGCCTCCTATTTACTCTATTTACTAATATTTACTCCCAAAATGAAGGGACCTTTTATCCTGAAAAAATCAAAGTAACTTCTTAGCTCTTTGCGCGCGGCGCCCGACCCCCTAACCTAACTAAGCTGTGCAAAAAAAAAAAAAAAAAAAAAACCTGTTTTTTTTTTCTTTGTTTCTTGGGGTTTTATTTTTTTTTTTTGACAACTTTCCCAAGCTGTTTTGTTTGCTTAGGCAAGGGCTCTCCGCTTATCTTTCTTATCTCCTTGCTCGCGACGCACGCACGACACTGCGCTGTGCAAAAAAAAAAAGAAAATAAAAGAAAAAGTTTTTTTTTGTTTTTTTTTTTCAGTTCCGTGTTTTTTTTTCTTTTTTTTTTTTGTCGCCTTTCGCAAGTTGTTTTGTTTGCTTAGAGGGCTTCTCCGCTCCTCTTTCTTACCTCTGCGTGCGGCGCGCGACCCCCGTAACCAAACTGCACTGTGCAAAAAAAAAAAAAAAAAAAAAAAGGGGAAAAAGCTCCTTTTTGTTTTTGTTTTCTCTTAGTTCCGTGGTGTTTTTTTTTTTTTTTTTTTTGCTTTTTGCCGCCTTTTGCAAGCTGTTTCGTTCGCTTAGAGTGCTTCTCCGCTTCTCTTTCTTACCTTCTTGCGCGCGGCGGCGCGCGAACCCGAAGTCCAGACTGCGCTGTGCAAAAAAAAAAAAAAAGAAAGCTCCTCTTCATGTTTTTTTTTTCTTGCTTCCGTTGGATCTTTGCGAATTTTTTTAACGCCTTTTGCAAGGCGTTTTGCTCGCCCACGCTGCCCATGCACTCGCGACCTCGCTGCACCAGGATAGAAAAGTGCGTTCGTTCATTTCGCGCGCGTGAAGGGAGGGGGTCAAAATTTTGACGTCAGAGTTGGGAGTGCGTTTATTACGCGAGTGAAAAAAAAAAGTCGAAATTTTGAGAGCCGACTTGGGGGGTGCGCTCATTATGCGAGTGCGTTCATTGTGCGAATAAATACGATAAATAGTAACAGTTGAAAGAAGATTCTCGTCCGAACATACAATGCAACGCAACAAGGACTGTCACCAACAGTGGCAACAAAAGGATTTTGTTCGGTATCCTAATTTTAAGCCGCTTGTGCCCACGGCCCACATTCTTACGAGAGGATCGGTTCCTACAATTAATTCAACTGAGCCCCTATTACACCAGTAACAGAAGTTATAACAATTCGAGGGCACCATACCTTCATCGGGCACACCATCTCCATCTTTCAGGCTCCCCTGCACCTCGTTCAGAAGCTGCCAGTCTCGGGCCCGATTGCGTTCACTGCAGACAATAGCAGACGTGCACAACGTGATTGCCCCGGCCTGCAGGATTCTCCCCAGAAACTTTTGAGATCTGGGCATCTGACAACTTCAAGGGTGCTGAGGGGAGGAGGAGGGGGCGATTGGTGCAACTTTTGTTGTTCTCTGCACTTTCTCTGCCGCACAGCAGTGATTCTGTTTGCAGGAACCATGCAGTTCTGTTGCGTAGGGTCACACAAGTCTGCCCATCACGACAATCTGGGGCGGTGTGCGTTTTCAAAATCAACATTGTTTTGTTTGGCAGGTGCAAAATCTAGAGGTGGGTTGGACGTAGGGGGGGTGGACAGTCAGCCAGACTGAAGGTTGGCAAAACCACTGCTGCCCACTGTGGGCAGAACCCAGCCTGGCTGGGATACAGATACAAGTAAATAAAATGAGTATTAATGAATCTGTATGTACACCGAAAATTGATGTGGGTGTCTTTTCGACATCTGCATTCAAAAAGTATACAATAATCAAAAATTACCCAGATCCAGACAAACTCCCCAGGCAATAACCCCTGACTTAGGCTATGTCTGAAAGAATTCCCCAGATATTATTATCTAAAAGACAGAAAAAAAAAATTTTAAGCCAGGAAAATTTTCCTAGGGTAGGGAGAAATTTCTCTACGCTGAATAAATTACCCTTAAACCTAAAAACATTTTCTTGAAGTAAAAAAAAAATTTTCTGGACTTCTTAAAGTTTTAAAAATATTCTCTAGAGCAGTGTTTCTCAAATGGGGGTCCTTGATAGCATCCTAGGGGCCCGCAAAGCCCTGCCTCATCAGTCGAGCCCGACAATAAATGTATTTTTTCAAATAGAGTAGAAACGTTTTAATTTTCTGGTGAGTATTCTCATATTTATGTCAATAAGAGAAGGCTACTTCACACTAGCCCTAACTTATATCCATTTATTAAATCATTATCATAATTCACCTATACCTTCTGTCTCCCCCACCACAAACAGGATCATCCATCATCTTTGCCAATCCACAAGGGGTCTGAGAAACATTAATGTTTAAGAACCACTGCTCTAGAGTAAAAACAATTCCCTAAACTAATAAAATTTCTCAAGGCTAGTGAAGATTTCTATAGAATGAAGAGAAGTTTCTGTACACTCAAAAATAAGTTTCCTATAAACGTTGGGAATATCTCTCCAGACTATGAAATTTTCTAGTCCAAGTGTTTTCTGTTTACGAAGACTGTAGGGCTTTGGTTCTTTGCACATACCGTATTTGCACGAATATAACGCGGCCACGAATATAACACGAGGGCAGGATTTGATGCCCTCAAAAAGAAAAAAAAAATTATTACTATTATCACGCGAGCTGAGGCCGCATACATTTCCCGCACTCGGGAGCGTAGCAGAAGTGAAAAGGCAATGGAAATCGAAGAACTATCAGTTTATGTTTTGACTGCACTCATCCTCACTGCTCAGGTCCTTTACAATTTTACAATCCACTTGGCGACTACGCAGATATGAAGCAGCACGGGGCCGTTTGTCTGGTAGTTCCTATTTCTTCAGCGTGAGCTCCTCAGCAGCCCACAAGCAAAGCAAGGCACGAAGCAGAAACACAAATACCAGACCACTCTGGAGCAGAAACTAAAAATGCGCAGGCAGAAAAAAGACTGCGGAATCCGATACACGATGACACTTATTCTTGTTCTGGTCCCTCCGCATAAACAAACGCATCATGTTGCACAATTGAGCAAACACGGGCAGTGGTCTTGGCTTGGCTTGTGCATGCCGCTGCGTTTCTGCGCCTTGCAGGTGCGTTGTATAAATGCAAAAGCGATAAAAGTGCTTTTTATGTTTTCTATTTACCCCTTCACGTGGCCCAAAAGCTAATAAATTCCCCCCACACCCCCACTTCTTTTCCCACTTGATCTCCTGCATTGAGCCGGACAAACGGCTCTCTCCTTTGGCTTTCTCGAGACTCACGTGCCTCATGGCGGAACTTGATTCCGAGTATAACGCGAGGTGCGTTTTGGAGCACGTAATTTGGAAAAAAAACTCGCGTTATATTCGTGCAAATATGGTATTCTCAATCCCACGTCCACCAAAACTGTAAACAAGAGTTCCACCTGAGAACACGGTGGAAGGGGACAGCCACCGCGTACAGCTGACCCTCGGCCGAGATGTAGCAGCAGGGGTAGGTGTTGGGCTTCACTGTCTTCACCAGCACATTGTTCAGCCCCATCAGGGTGTAGTTGTTGCACACCAACCTGCGGAAGAGGATGCGCGACACCTCAGTCGCTTACGAAGGTTTGAAAACAACCTTGCTGGCACCGAAGTGGCCCGCTTGGATCCCGAGAACAAAGCAAGTTTGAAAAAAAAGACTTTCAGCCTTTCCACTCTGGTGATGAAGGAAGACCAGTGAAGCTGTATTATGGTGGGAATGAAGTAATGGCTGGCCGCACGTCGGCAAGCCAGAGTGGAAAGGCTGGAAAGGTTGCGCCACCTATGAGCAACAGCAACAACCAGACGACCGGCAAGCCGGTCGTCTGGTTGCCGCCGTCGCTCATAGATGGTGGTAGCTGTCCAGAGTTTAGTGTCATTATTTGTTTGCTGACGGACACAGTACTAGGAAAACGAGCCCTTAACAGCTCTGCTGTAAAAATTGGCTGCATGTTTTGTCATTTTGCTAAACGCGTTTAAATGTGGTAGCTTTATAGGATAGTTCGGGTGGCGCCTAGGGCAGGATGACCATTAGTAATTAAGTGCCTAGGGTGGGTAGGGCTCTTTGGTCTGGTTGGTGCATAGGGCAGGGTTTTGTATGGAAACAGATTACGCCACACCCATGTCTCCTTGCAACGTTGTGCGCACTTCCCGTCAGCACCACTTGGACAGAAAGCTTTTGTGCTGAATATTTTGGATCACCAAGAGGGGGGGAGTGCGTTTTTCTGCCCTTCTCACTCCTCCTTTCTCCACTCACTCTTTCTACACCCCTTGCTTGTGCTCCTCTCTTTCTTGACCTTTTCAACCCTGTCCTCTCCATGCACTTTCTCACACCACCTGCCTCCGCTCCTCCCGTTCCTGCAAGCTAGGTTTGTAGCTCACTCAGCGGAGCACTCGGCTTCCACGACAGTGACCGGTGTTTGACCCCTGGCACAGATTGTTATTCTTTTCAAGATTGTTTAGCGGTTACGGACTGACTGACCTATGCATTTTGTGTTTACGCAGCTCCTGAGGTTAGTTGGCCCTATAAAGCAACCACTTTAAAAAACACGTATAAAGGAAAGGCCACTAAGTCTGAGAACCTAAATGCTAGTACAGTGCAATCCACTTATAACGATACCACATATAACAATGTATTGCCTATAACAGTCAGTTTCTAGAGCTTCTAGACTAGAAACAATCAGTTTTAGTCCAGATACAACAATACCATATTTACTCACAGAATGAACACACTTTTTTTCCCGAAAAATCGATGCAAAATTGGGGGGGGGGGGGGGGGCATTCATTAAGCGAAGTAAAATTTTTGCCTCCGTATTTACTCGCATAATGAACGGACTTTTTATCCTGAAAAATTGACTTAACTGCTTATCTCTTTGCGCGCGGTGCGCGACCCCCATAACCAAACTAAGCTGTGCAAAAAAAAGAAAAGAAAAAAAAAAGCTCCTCTTTGTTTTTTTTTTGTTTTTTTTCTCTTAGTTCCCTGGGTTGTTTTTTTTGTTGCCGCCTTTCGCAAGCTGTTTCGTTTGCTTTGCTTAGCTGAGGGCTTCTCCGCTTCTCTTCCTTACCTTCTTACGCGCGGTGCGCAATGCGCGACCCCGACCCCGTAACCAAACTGCGCTGTGCAAAAAAAAAAGTTCCTCTTTGTTTTTTCTCTTAGCTCCGTAGGTTGTTTTTTTTGTTTTTTTTGCCGCCTTTCGCAAGCTGTTTTGTTTGCTTAGGCGTGACACAAGGCAAAGTGCACGCACTTGGTTCTTGCCAGTTGGCAATGTCGTCTAGTTCTACGGTTGGCGGGAGACACTGCTACATACACACCGCAGGGCTTCATTTGCGTGTTTGCGTGTACCTACCATCGGATGTAAAGCAACTGACCAATCATAACACTATGTCTTGATTGACTCGTATGTGTGCTCCCATTCCTATACTTCAGTGACCTTAAGGCTGTTTTCTGTGCGATGGAATAAAAATAGGATATGCATAAAAGCAGGTGTTACTACACAAGAGCAATCACTGTCACTCCTTACGCACACTGAGGTGAAAAGCTGTAGATGTTTTCGTCTCGTGTTTGACCAAATTCTTCCAATTAAGTTTCTACTTCTCTAGCAAAATAATTTGTTGGCCTAGTTGTCCTATGTTAAAGTTATTGCAGTTTCGAATAAACCGCCTGATGGCATTGGATGATTCACACCCCAAGCCCTATCGAGGCTCAGTGTAATACAGTTGAACTTCGATTTTACGAAACCCGATCTTACGAATTCCCCGATCTAACGAAGAAATTTTGATTCTCTGTAACGTGCCTATAGGGCTCAATGCTTTTCTGAACTCGAAATAACGGAATAATGTTCCGATTTAACAAAGCTTTTTTGAAAATAAATGCAAGTAAAACGAGGTCGTTTCACGGGTATTTCGAAAAGAAAGGCTCAGAAGATTGTCATTATGGTGCATCAGTAACATTGAGGAACTTGAAGTCTGTATTTTACGGAACTCCACGCAAAAACAAACTGTGCATCACGAGCTTTGAGTAAACTATACCAGATGGCGCTGGCGGCGGTATTTCACGTCGCGTGCAATAGATGGCGCCGCCGACGTTCGCCGTCGTTTTGGCCGTTTGCAGAGCCGAGATTCGTGTTTCTTTGTTCCTGGGTACTCCCTGTTGTCACGACTTTGGATTCCTCTACCAACACCTCTACGTCGCCACCAAATGAAGCCGCCAAAGAAGAAAAGAAAAGTTCTCTCTCTAGAAGAAAAAGCGAAGGTAATTAACACTGTTGCCAGTGAATGTAAAAAATGCGACGTTGCTACAGAGCACGGCATCCCAGCGAGCACGTTTTCAACAATCTTGAAGAGGAAGGACGCTATCCTTCGAGCGGCTTCGTCAAGGAAGTCGACGAAAAAGAAAAACCTGAAAACTATGCCGTACGAAAAGTTGGAAGAAGCGCTTTACACATGGTTTATGGACATGCGAGCCAAGAACGTTCCGACATCGGGGGAAGTGTGGGCTTTGATGACTTCAAAGCAAGTTCTGGCTGGCTGACGCATCTTAAAGAGCGTTACGCGGTTGTAGGCAAGGTGATATGCGGCGAGGAAAGTAGCGTCAACAGGCTTGAGGCCAGCGACTGGCTGTCTAAGAATGTACCGGACATCCTAACAAGCTATGCCCCCAGAAACATATACAACGCCGACGAAAGCGGTCTCTTGTATCAAATGCTACCAAAAAAAACGCTTGCCCAAAAAGGTGCGTCCTGTCACGGCGGCTAATGGCCAAAAAATGCATTTCCCGATTTTACGAATTCCGAGATGTAACGAAGTAATTTGCGGCTCCAGTCAACTTCGTTAAATCGAGGTTCAACTGTATACCATAGCAGTTGCAATCGCAAGGTATGTTGCAGTGCTTCTTTAGACGCAAAGCTTATTTAAAAAGGTACACCGCTCATTTTATGTCCCGGACATTCTGGAAGGAAAATGTGGTGGTGTCCCAGGTCAATGACTGCCGATGGCTTCTCTTGCAGAGACAGCCAAGGGCATGCTTGAACCCAAGTCGACTTCAAGTGCAAGACGTCACTGAATGTTTGGCTGCATTTCCTCAGCACTCACCTCCCGCCCTTGCCAACCTCGAATGCAGCAACCCTGGAGGTCTGGTGAGGGCACCAGATCTGTGGGAGAAAGACGGAAAGAATCTATCAATGTGCAACTTCCCTGCTTGTCGTCTCTTAGCAAAACGTTAGCTGTCATTGTAAACCTCTCTCTAGGAGATTTATTTTTGAGTTCTTACCAGTTTCTGCTGTACCTGCATGGTTAGTTTACAGCAACGACATAAAAGCGCGATTTGTAATACAGGTGATCATTATTTTTCGCTTCTGATGTCAAATGCCCAATTTATTCAAATACTAATAGGTTTATTGTAAAAAGGAATCTCAGCCTTTGCAGTGGAGATTTTGTGTTCTATTAAGACTGGACTTGTGTGCTGTAGTTTCATTTAGAAAAATATTTAAAAAGAAACAGTTCACTTTTTATACTTTACTTTTATTCATATTAAAAATTAAAACTGAAGAAAACTAAAAGAACTTCAAGAAGCTATATCAATTTCATATTTTTCTGCTATAGCTTTCCCATTTTGTAAAAATCAAATATACTCAATATTCAAGATGATGTTATTTGATTCAACCTATCTGATTAGTATGGACATACTACTTCTATTCGATTCAGCCACAAAAAATGACACTGCACGGGGCTACTTGCTGCCCAAGCATAAGAAACAAAAAGAGGGTTGCGCGTCTGCAGTACTCTGCTGCAGACGTTTTCTACGAAGGCCACATTCCGCCGATTAAACTGAATCAGGCCTTGGCCCCTCACTCGCCCCTTGGTCGTAGTGAAACAAGCCCACCTTGCTCCCCTGTCCCTAGCAAAACAGCGGAGTCTTCCTCGGCCCACCCCTCTCTCGTTCGAGGCATGATGAAGATCAGCGGGGCACGTCCAGTGAGCGCACCACTTCTACCATAGGCACCTTTCGAAAGCGTGCTTTCTGTTTGAAGCTATGGAACCATTGCACAATGGTGGACACAAGCGCGAGCTCCTTCTGTTCGATTATGCTTCAGCTTTAAACGGAGCAAAATATTTAAGCTACCTGCTCATGCCACCTGCTAGTTCTGCGGTGTCGGTTGGTGAAAGAAATGTTACCGGATGTTTTCACCTTCATAAGCCACCTCCCCCTTGGTGCAGTGGTTGAGAATCGGGCTGAGCATCTTGAGATCTTGAGTTCTATTTCCCTTGGGGGACTTTCGAAATTTCGCTCTTTCTTCTCAATTCATCCACTTACCACTCTCATGTGCGTGCAGATTCATTTCATATTAAAGGGCAAAATTTTGCAGAGGGACTGCTGAAAAAAAAAAAATGCTACTGCACTTCAAAAACAAACAAAAATCCGTGACTGTCCTACACGAGAGTTCTATTTGGTAAACCGCGTGCGATCTGAGACGGGACATTGCATCGGAGCGATGCTCACCTCGACGAGACCCCAGCGTGGTGCGTAGACCACCAGGAACTGCGTCTTCCGGGGAACGCCGTTGACCTTTGTGTCGGGGGAGCTGTCTTCCACTTCGACCCAGCCACAGTCGGCGTCACGGTAGCCTGCAAAAGGACATCCGGACGATCTTACTGTGTTTTCAGAAAAAAATAACCGTGTCGTTTGGCCCATGTAAGTAAACTTCCATTGCAAGAAGTTGAAACTCCATGAGAATGTGACGCTAGTGGCTATAGAACATGAAAGCTTGAGCGAACGACGTTACCCGGTTCACAAGATGAAAGAGGAAGACCAATTTTGTCTAAGAACTGACATACACCGAAGCCTAATACCGTCAAAACAAGAAATGACAATGTGGATGCCTCTAGCGTCTATTCAAGTAAAAAAAAAAACCTGCCGTCAAAAAAGAAAAAAATATTCTCTTTCACGCTGCCAAGCTTTTTTTGTTTTTAAAGCGGAATAGACGCTACAGGCGCCCACAGTGTCATTTTTTGCTTTGAAGATATTAGGCTCGGGTAGTCGTCGGCTCATAGAGAAATTTTGTCTTTCTCTTCTATCTCTTGGTCCAGGTAATGCCATGCTCTCAACTTTCCCGTCCTATTCCAACTGCTAGCGTCACATTATCATCTTCCAGTTTGCTACTTTTGCAGGCCGAAAAACACAATTCCTTTTTCTCAAAAACACCCGGTAAAACCACTTTACGTACAGCATGTTTTACAGCGCTACTCTTGTATAAATAATCGACAGCTGCATTTCAATCTTTTCATCTAACCGCCGCACGCAAAAATGCGATGTGTGAGAAGTGGCACATTTTCGTTCGATTTTTTAATTGGCATGCTACGATTAACTGACAACATCATGCGATGTGGTCACATGATGTCAGAGTGTGAAGTGACAGGGTCAAGTGACGCCACTTCACATGGCACATTGTCACATGACACCCAGATGTGATGTGACCTGGCATCGGGCAATGTGGCTACGTGATGTCCTGACACGTGGCTCGTTGTCACATGATGCTGTAATGTCATGTGACATCACAGCATTCTGCTATGCTACAACTTGACAGTGAACGTGACTAGATGACATCCTGTGACATCACAACTTCACGTCGCGAGTCACATGACACTGTGATGTCAGGTCATGACATCACAGTGTCATGACCTGACATCCAGAAGTAATGTGACACAAGGGTGTCACATTACTTCTGGGTTTTCTATCGACATTGAAAATATGTATTATTCAATCCCACATACAGGCCTTCTGAAGATTCTCCGAAACACCATCGAGGAGCAGGGCACTTCATCATTTCAAAACGCGGCCGGCATCAACTTGGATAGTTTCTTAGAGCTTCTAACCATCTACCTAAAGGCGACGGCAGTAGTACACCAAAGCAAGCAGTACGTACAGCGAAGTGGTATCTGCATAGGATCCCGGGTAGCTCCGTACCTCTGTGACATTTGCCTTGCCGCATGCGGCTCTGCTATCCAAGAAAACTTAAAAGATCCCCGAGTAGAGGCCATTTTTAGGTACGTGGCTGATTTTTTAATCTTGTGCAACACTCAGGTCCATGAAACAACCAACAGATGTCAGGAAGCAGTCATGACGTGTTTCGATAAAAGCTGCGCCGATCTTGCCTTCACCCACGAGCTCCCCGTTAACAACTGCATAAAATTCCTAGATCTCTCCTTAGAGTTTAGGAATAGACATGTATGCTGGAGATATCAGGCAAGATCTTGCAAAGGATTTCTTCCTTTTAGCTCTGAACATACCGAAAATGTGAAAAGAGCAGTTGCGACCACAGCCCTTAAGAGGTCATGTGAGCATCAGGTGCGGAGGAGTTTTGCGACACAAATCTCTAGGCTACAAAATGCAGGCTACCCTAGGACACTTCTTGTTTAGATTTGTGAAAACATATCTGCAAAGGTCAAGCGCCGACCTGAAGGAGATGGAACAACAACAACAAAAAAGCCTCGAACACCCTATGTGGTTGCCCCTTACAGCCATGGGCTCACCCATCGACTAAAAAAGATTGCTGGCCGACAGGGCGTACAGGTCATATGCTCTGCGCCTAATAAGGCATACTCCATGTGCCGGAAGGTGAACAAGGAGGACAACAACGAAGAGACAGGTTGCAGCACATCTCACAAGACCAGATACACTGAATGTACAAAAGAAGTTGTGTACCAGATCCCTTTGTCATGTGGCAAATGCTACATTGCTCAAACGGGAAGGTGTATTAACGACAGAACAAGAGAGCACGCAGCGTCAGTGAAGGCCACCACAGCAGCAGGGCACCTCGCGGCCCATTGTTGGGTGTGCACATGTACGCCAAACCTTGCCAACATTGACATCCTGGCAAAAAATCGCATAAGGGTTGCTCGAGAAGTTCTCGAGGCCCTTGCTATTGACGCGAAGGGGGATCATTGCGTGAGTGCACCGTCAATCGCGCTGCACCAGAAGGAATTGGTATACCTGCGAAGAGCCGCACACTTGACAGGCACATGAAAGAAGAGGAAGAGCGAGAGACGAAGGTTCGGATATAGAAGAAGGGGAAGAATCCGTTTAGCTGTACAGTATAAAAAAAGAAGATTTCATTAAAATAGTTGATAGTCCAGCGGTGTGTCTGCCTTTTTTGTTCCTCTCTGTATGTGTGTCTGTAAAACGTTCAGCTGGCACTTTAACAATCATGAACCAACTAGCTCAGCTTCAAGCCGTCACAAGCCAAATTACTCTAAAATCCCGTAAGGACGCCTTCCTCCGATAGATTGCCCATCCCCTTTTTCTGGCTAAATATCCGTAACATAAAAATTTTGAAACACCGCCCACCCCCTCAATCATTGTCGGACGTCACGCGATGTATGACGGGAATCGCATCAACTGCGCGATCTGCAGTACTGGTACGTCAAGCGAGTTCATAGCGAACGCCCGTGGTTTTGTTGGCAATCTGCACGCGGAATATCGGCTCCTGTAACATGCGAGTTGTTCCCGCGTGTACAGTGCATCGTGAAATGCGAATCTGCTGCGTCTGCGATATCCGATACCATGACATGCGAGTTTGTAGCGGATTCCAGCACTTTTGGCTGCGATTTGCGCGTGCAATCTCAATGTTTTAGTGCGCGATCTGCGCGCGTGACATCGGTTCCCTGAGAGGCAAGTTTGTAGCAGGTTCCCACATGTTTATTGCACTATGAAACTTGAATCTGCTGCGTCTGCGATCTATGGTATCTGTTCCCGTGACATGCGAGCTCTCGGCTGCTATCCACGAGTTCTTCGCACCATGAAACACGAATCTGCTGCGTCTGCAATCTGCCATATCCTTTCTTGTGACACAGGAGTTTGTAGCGAATTCCCGCGTGTTTATCACATCATGAAACACTAATTTGCCGTGTCCGTGATCTGCGGTATCAGTTCCCGCGTCACGTGGTCTGTAGCAAGTGCCTGGACGTTCATCATCACTTCTTTTATAAAGTTTTGCTGTCGCATCCTCAAAGATATCCCACCCCATGTTTTTCCCAATTTATCTCTTCATTTTGAGCGAGAATTCTTATGGGATTCTACGGTAGGCCGAGCCAAGTGAAGCATGGCAGTACACGTGTGCACAGCAGCTGCAAGTGGGAAGTTGCGGAAGTGACCAACAGTGAAACTGAGCGCCCACAACCAGCCGTGGGTGCGCTGCTGTCAGTGGAACCGTGCCACGGTACCCTGCCACGTCAGATCGGCACCTAAAATGACATTTATGCAAGGTGTCTAAATGCACCAAATTTTACCCTGCATAACAGATGCACACCCCCAAATACGTGTAAATTTTACAGGAAAAAAAAGTGAGTCCATTATGCGAGTAAATACGGTACATAACATCTACAGACATAAAACTCGCACATATTACGTAGGTTTCACGAATGCAAAGGCCCACACCTTTCCAGATGCGCAGTGCATTGCCATGGAAGACGTCGAAGAGAGCTATCCTGCCAACGCTGTCGGTGATGACCGCTAGCCGCTTGTTGGGAGAGAGACAGATTCTGGCGCCCCACCGATGCTTGTCGTAGATCCCGCACCTGTGGAGGGCAATAAGCAAGCACCGTAGAAAGTAGTCTGAGGCCTGCTCTTTCTGATTGTATCTCTGCTGCATTGAAGTTAAAAACCACAAAGAGCTTCAGAGTAGTCCAGCATAGCTCAGATGAGGGAGAACTCCACCGGCTGTCAAGAGACCCTGGGTTCCCGTCCCACCAACGGCAATTAATTTTTCGGGAGTTTTTTGTTTTACCTTTTTAGGGACAAGTTTTAGGAAAAAAAGCGGCACGCTTCACCAGCCTACTGGTCACGTGACCTCACGATGTCGCCCGACTCTATGACATCGCATGATTTTACGTCAAGTTTGGGTGTCACATGGCCGCGGCCATGTGATGATACATTGATGTCACATGACATCATAATGTGACACGCGCAAGCATATGCAGCACGTGCCTGGCTCATTTGCAACTGATTCTGTGGATCTCCAAGTCTACCAGATACGGTAAAGACATGCATACATTTTTCATTTAATAAACTTTCATAAATTTGCACGACAGATTCGTGTGCTCCATAAAGCCACATCAAATACGACAAAAATGGATGACTTGTTTTTGAAAGAAAAAGAAAGAAGCAAGGTACTAGGTATTTGGTCTAGATAAATACCGTATTTACTCATATCTAGGCCGATAGTTTTTCCAAAAAAATTAAATCCGAAACTCGGGAGTCGGCCTAAATACGAGGATCCGGCTCCGCCATGACCGCGGGTTGCCATCTTGTCTACATTGCTTCGGGAAGATACGCTGTGTACCACGGAACGCACGGAACGTTCGTCTCTACTCGACGCTATGGCATCGACCAGTCGATGCCACTACTTCGCGGCTTTTAAGAGGAAAGTTGTCTTGGCTGCTGAACACTCGTCCAACCTGCAAGCCCAGCGTGACTTCGGCGTGGACGAAAAAAATGTGCGTCACTGGAGAAAGCAGCGTGGTCAGCTCTTTGCATGTGCGGCAACAAGAATGGCGTTCTCAGGACCGCGGAAGGGAAGGCACCACGAGGTGGATCGCGGCCGCATGGGACGACATCCCGGCGGAACTGGCAGTAAAGTCGTTCCGAAAGTGTTGCATCTCGAATGCCCTGGACGGTACGGATGACCACGCGTTGTGGGAAGTGGACAGTACATTGCAGATAAATTCCGTTCTGTGTTTAATTTATGGTGTTTTGCCTATACTTTTTGGTCGGCCTAGAATCGAGAATTTTTTTTTAATTTTTCGGCCGTGCCGTTTTTGCGGGGTCGGCCTAGAATCGATGCCGGCTTAGAATCGAGGAAATATGGTATGACACACACTGCTTCATCTCAACTCAAGCTAGACAAAAAAAAAAAAAAAAAAAGGAGCTACCTGAGAGGCACTTGGGTTGCTGGCTCAATTGGAGGTGCCTTCAATTCTTCGGGCTGATGCTTCGTCAGCTTCCCAAGCAGGTTGCTGCAGAGCACAAAAGAAATGTCTCAGAAAAGCTTTGCAAGCTGATTAAGCTAAAATGAGAAGACTGGATAGAATTTGTTTCCAAGCCTGAGATATTGCTAAATATATCCTAAAGCTTACATCTTTTAATGCAGAATATGTTATAGATGATTGATTATTAAATGGTTAATGACGCAAAAAGCAACATAGGCCATGCTGCGGCAAAGAAATAATTAAAAGACTCTATAGTAAAAGAAAGGAATTACTATGCAGAAGATCTATAACTGGTGCAGGTAGCCAGTTTTTTTAAGAAAATCTAAAATGTAACCAAAAGGAACTAAAAGTTCATGTCCCAGCAAGAAGGCTGGATGAAATAGAAGATATCCGGAAAGTGAAGGGAAGCTTGTTTGACGTTCCTGATCAAAGAATTTGCAGTGCCATAGAATATGCAGTATGGTTAGCAATTCACCGCAATGCCCACGGACTGGGGTGTCCTCATCACAAAGAAGATGTCGATGGGTCACACGTGAAGGTCCAATTCTCAAACGACACATTAAAACTTCATGGCCAGAATATGTTATAGGAGAGGATCACAAACAACCCAGCTTGACAAGAAAGCATTACAAATTTCCAATCAATGTAACATAACAGACAAGATGTCACATGACGCCACTTTGTGCAGTCACATGACGTGACCCATAGTGGCACCAACCATGTAGGAAACCATGTGGTCCATAGTCACCCACATAACATGCTCTACACATGCAATGGTTTTATTGGGCATGACCAAAGTATTCCCTTCAAAGATCTTTCACAGTATCATCAAAGCACCCCTAAATTTTTACTATTCTTTGAAGTCTGTAAGCAACGTCAAATTACTAGCAATAACTTCTCGATGGCTCCGAGGCGAGAGCACCGGCCTACGGATCCCCATGTGGCAAGTTCGAATCCCGGCCGAGGCGCCCGCAATCTGACGGAGGCTTATTGCGGAGAAGGCGCCGTGTAACCGAGCTTTCGGTTGCACGTCAAAAAATCCCCAGGGGTCGACATTAATCCTCAGTCCTCTGCTGGGGCGTGCCAGATGCCCGCCGTTGGTTTGGCACGTAAAACCCCCAAATTTGACTAGCAATAACTTGAAGATGGCTAAGAAATTAAGACAAAAGACACAGTGCCCAAAGAACTGTAGACTGCCGCTTTTTGTACACACACTCAAGATGGAAACCGCATGATTTGAATCCTATAGCAAAGAATGTATGATAAACTATAAAACAGACTTACTCTGCGAGAAAACTCTTGAGCCTTGATGCCACGGCCACAGCAACATCTGACAAGAAAGGCTGGATGCTTCCCTGAAATTAAAACCTTTTTGTAATGGTGCAGGAGTGATGCAGGCCAATATTATGAAGCATGCAGTGTTTGCACCATGCTGGGGCCTCAGCACAAGCGAACACCTAACTTGAATTATTGGCATGGCCCTCTAAAGCTGGGTAAAACAGTGCTGTTTTTGTCATTAAGATTCCTTACAGCACTTAAGCAATCTTAAGTTCAATAAAACATATTACATATTTATAAGATTTGTTGAATCTTACTCCAGTCAGGAATGAAAGGGTCGATTTCAGGTTACCGAAACTTGCAAAAAGTCAGCATCAAGGTAAGTAAATTATAACTTCACTATGTTAAGACGAAAGCACTATGATTAAATTTGAGGAATTTTTAGGTTCCATCGAAATTCAGAACACACCTGCACAGTTATTTGCCAAATGCCCCTTTTATTAGGTGGCAAAGAAGCTTGTATTGTACATAAATCACCACTCACAAACTCTGTCGTTCGGAGAACCCGTCATGTCCAGTCATGGCAAACATTCAATACAAATCCCCGTATAAAGTGCGCCCGTAGAAAGTGCGCACCATACGAAATTTCAACTTTGAAACGTGTGTAGTATGCAGACTATATTCTGAAAATTATGGTAAACATATTTTCAACCCTGTCGTTTCCTGAGCTGGCTTCATTGATTGTAGGCGCCGCATATTATAGAGCGTAGTTTGCGGCTTGAAAACTGGAGCGATATATTCACCTCCCTGGCGTAGTAGAAGGCCAGATAAGGGTCCGACCCGGTGGCGAGAAGCAGACTGGACGATGCCGCCGAGTAGCGAACCTTGCCGCCGTTTGCCTTGCGGATCGACTCGGTCACCATCTGGTCAAACAGGCTGGGCAGCACCGTACCTGCCAGCGAAATGTAAGGCCGCCATGAAATTCAACCCACGCACTCGACCTCAGTCACTTTTAGCTCTTCTGTCATCGTAAAAGGCCTAGTTTGCCACTGTCTGACAAGTCAGCAAAAGTCTCTACAGTGAAAGCGACAGCTCGGAAAGAAAATTTTGCAATGTGCGTGTGTGTGTACACGTGACGGAAGTGCGTTAAAGAGTGTATCGAAATACCGTATTTACTCGCACAATGAACACACTCGCGTAATGGACGCACCCCCCAAGTTGGCTCTCAAAATTTCAACTTTTTTTTTCACTCGCGTAATAAACGCACCCCCAACTCGGATGTCAAACTTTTGACCCCCTCCCCCCACGCGCGCGAAATGAACGCACTTTTCTATCCTGGTGCAGCGAGGTCGCGAATGCATGGCAGTGTGGGCGAACAAAACGCCTTGCAAAAGGCGTTAAAAAATTCGAAAAGATCCAACTGAAGCAAGAAAAAGGAACATGGAGAGGAGTTTTTTTTTTGCACGGTGCAGTCTGGACTTTGGGTTCGCGCGCTGCCGCGCGCAAGGAGTAAGAGAGAGAAGCGCTCTAAGCGAACAAAACAGCTTGCGAAAAAGGCAAAAAAAAAAAAAGAGAGAAAAAAAAAAAAAAAAACGGAACAAAGAGAAAACAAAAACAAAGAGGCGCTTTTTTTTTTTTTCTTTTTATGCACAGCACAGTTTGGTTACCGGGGTCGCGCGCTGCGCGCAAGGAGGTAAGAAAGAGGAGCAGAGAAGCCCTCTAAGCAAACGAAACAGCTTGCAAAAGGCGGCAAAAAAAAAAAAAAAAAAGAAAACAACCCACGGAACTGAGAAAAAAAAAAAAAAAGGTGAGCTTTTTTTTTCTTTTTTGCACAGCGCAGTTTGGTTACGGGGGTCGTGCGTCGGGCGCCGCGAGCAAGGAGATAAGAAAGATAAGCGGAGAGCCCTCGCCAAAGCGACGCCTAAGCAAACAAGACAACTTGCAAAAAGCGGCATAAAAAAAAAAAGTTTTTTTTTTTTTTTTTGCACAGCTTAGTTTGGTTACGGGGTCGGGCGCCGCGCGCAAAGAGATAAGAAGTTACTTCGATTTTTCAGGATAAAAGGTCGGTTCATTATGCGAGTAAATACGGACGCAAAAATTTTACTTCGCGTAATGAACGCCCCCCTAACTTTGCATCATTTTTCGGAAAAAAAGTGCGTTCATTCTGCGAGTAAATACGGTACACCCGCCACTTTTAAGGCCCTAAAAAAATAAGCGAAGGACATATCGAGCGACCACCCTAGACTGTCCCTTCCAGTCAATCGCATCTCCAAGCACATAGGTGCGGAGCGGTGAAGTTTGATGTATAAACGCTAGTGCAAACCAGCGAAGCTTCAAGCGCATGCCCCAGTGCATGGCGGTCAAGCTTGATAGAAGTGTGCATGCCGGTGCAAAGTGGACAAGCAAGACACATGCACTGGTGCAGTGCACTAAAGACTGCCCTATTGTGCGCCCTTCTGCATTTTTGCTCTTGGATCTAAGAAGTGCCCATCCCCCGGTTTCACCAAGATTACGTCCAATTTTGGGTGGGCGCTTGCTCGGTGTTTTATAGCTGTAGTCGAGCAAAGACTACAGGTGCAAATTCATAGCTTCGACAGGTTTTCTTTCCATAACTGCAAAATGGAGGAAGCTATGACCTTGTGCTCGTAGCTTGCTTAAAATTGCTAAAAGAATATGCCTTGCCAAACGACCCAGGCTTGTCTTTGAAAGTGAAAGGGTTACAGTGAATTTAACTGATGAATGAAAGACCGGTAGGCATTTGAGCGGTTAACATGGAGGCAAAACATTCAGTGCCATCGTCAGCGACCTGCAAAATTTTAGACAGCTTTCATATTCTACACATTCTTTTTTCAGACTGCCATTATCTCATTAGTGGAACATTCCTGGCACCACAACTGCAACAGCGTGAGAGACAGCTGGCAGTGGAAAATGGAGACGACCTGGGAAGCTGATTCTGAGGGTTAACTGACCTGCAATCTCGCAGTCTCTGACATTCCGCGCGTCTTGTGGCCCCCACTTCTTGTAACTCAGGGGCGGTGGAATCACCGAAGCCTGGTTTCCAGCTGCTGCTGTAAAAAAAAAATATTTTGGTCAGTACTGCTATGACTAAATTTTGCACTCTTTGCATGGTGCCAGTCCCTCTTTGCAAGGCACCAGTTTGAGCTCTCCACGACACTGACGAAACAAAATAATAGTTGAAAACACCGGTCTTACTTACTTCTTGCCAGTTGATTCCGGCAAGCCCTCAGGGTCTGGAACAGACCAAAGCCCTCGACGCAGACGACGGCACGGGGGTAGACCACGCTCAGTTCATCGGGCTGCAACAAAGAGACAAGACATAACTTCAGCTTCGCATCTGCAAGACAGTCCCAATGGTAATACGTCACCACAACGAGTTGCTCAGCGTAGTAGGCCGAAAATCTCCGATACCGACATCCTGCAGGATACAGCTTCTAGAGTGTTTCAATCTCACAAAATTCTTAGCCACTTTGAGTGAAAGCTCGCCACATGGTAAAGCAGATCGGCAGTTCAGAAACCTCCAAACTTTGTCAGCAGTAGTATCATGCACGTTAGGGAGAAACAAGAGCATTTAACTACCATAACATCCCGAGACATAGCCGACGTAAAATTGAGAGCAAGTCAAGCGAAAATAAGGAGTAGGCTGACTTCCAATGTGCAATTAAGAAAAGATGAAAAAAGAAATTGCTATTTTTAGATGATGCGATTTGTCAAACTTGCTATATCAGCGAGGAGCAAGGAAGCAAACATATGAAATACTTCCCAGTCAGCAATATTCGTTTATCTCCCACCATAGCTAAGTAACCCCATTTTTGCCGATGCCACCATTGGCCAGGGCACCCCATTTACTAGAAGTGGGCTATCTTTTGGAGGTTTAGAAAAAATAGAAAAACACCATGCGCAAAATAGGTGTGAATTATCTTTCGAGGGTGAGCATCTCCCGGAATGTTACGGTGACGGCAATATGTACATCCCCATAATGTGTGCAAACGTTAGTTTCCTAAAATAAAAAAATAAATAAAAGATATAGTAGGTTTAAGCAAGCCTGCTCTTTTGCCAGACTGAGTGTGCATGAAAAATTTACAGTTGGGAAAAAGTTTAAATTTCGAGCTAGGGCTGTCGGCACATTGAAGATATTTTGTTTTCCCCAAGCATTCTATCACTCCGCATAAAGCTTTTAGAGGGAAGCACCTATGAGCTTTTAATTCTCACGAGACAATTTAAGAAACCCTTTTAATTGCAGTTTCCAATTCTTTTTATGCTAATAAATTGAACATGTGCGAGAAAACCCTCATATATTAAATATAACATCTCGTGTACGCATCAGCTTTACTTTGTCTAACCGTGTGCTAAATCAAAGCTCACAAATGCACTGTCAAGGTACCGAGAAATTATTATTTAATAGTCGTAGAAATGACGACGACCAAGCTTCGCATCTGAAATGACCAGCAAGTTCTAAGCAACAAGCGGATAGAGAGGGACCTGCGTCCATTCCACTCTCTACCATCGAGTTTCGGACAAAGATTCCAAGTACAGACCTGTTCGTTGAATCCTCCGAAACGGGGTGGAGCGTATGTTTGGCACTTGAGCTGCAGCACGGGTTCCTCGTGCAACAACTGGGTCAGCAGCATTTTTCCATCCTGAAGGGAAAACAAAGGCAGCATGAAGACCGATGACCAAGACTAGGGAAACTAACAAAAAGGACAGACAAAGCCAGAACTTAGTTCCCTCGGTTCTGGGTATCTGCCACGACCCTATACCCGCTCGCTTGCCTTATTACTTTAACTAGCTACAAAGCAGTAAGCGTAGTTGATGGCTCAGTAGACAGGTGACAAAATGGGTTGCTGCGAAAATGAACCAAGTATAACACTAGTGTGTATTAAGACGGTACAATAATTACCATCTGATCAATACAATAATTTCCATCTTAGCTAACAATGCAAGTTCCCCTTGAAAAACGCAGAGCCGGTTCTTATGCTTCTTGTGAAGCCTCTTAGTATATGTCGATCTTTGAGGGTGTGTACCCAGCAGAGTAATTCATGAAAGTGCTAAACCTGTGGCCTACCACGTGCCTCACAGGTCAATGAGGATGGCAATCGTGTCCTAGATGAACCAGAGCAGTAAAAATAATGCAATGGCATTAAACTTGATAATATGGAAGGGTGGTCTGTAGTACAACATTATGAAGAATGTCACCTTTGGTGCGTACCACGAAATTCATGATTTGCACACATCCAACACTAATCAATGAGAAACATTAAAAGGGCACTCAACTGCTTTTGTAGAAGCTTGTTTTTGATGGCATATTGTTTGCTGGGGTTTAGTAAATTAAAATGACCAGTTCTTGATGGCAAAAGACGTTGTAGCAAGCTCACAGAAACAGAAATACACGGGCACTGTTTTCTCTGTGTGTGTGTGGGAAGGGTCCCCACCACCTCCATAGAAAATACTAGTTACAGCAGAGCCTTATTGATAGGTTCCAAGTTTTTATGTTTGCCCAGCTTTTACGTTCAAAACAGCCGGTCCCGCCGAGCTTTATGCTTTCCCGGATCATACGTTTTTTTTCCGTGGTCTCCTGAGAAACATATCAAAGAGGTTCTACTGTAACTGCATGAAAATTACTAACGTTTATAATATTGTTTTTCTTAGGTGCATTGTGCATTACATTTTGACAAAAACGTCAAATCTTTGGGTGTGGGAGACGTAATACAGCAACTGTTTGAAAATGCCATCCAAAGGTGTCTGCTCAAGGCGCAGACAGGGGGGTGTGCCACAATTTTTGATCAGGTAGATTTTTAATAGGGAAATCCCTACCATGAGTTCAATTTTATCTTTTTAGGATGCTTAGAGCCTGTAGACTGAGTTATCACCGTAGATAGACAATCTCAAAATCCACTCGAGTGTCCCTTTAACACATTCCCACCTACATCGTTGCAGGGATGTAAACACGATGAATGTGATCAACTCACATCAGTGTAGATCTGAATGTGGCCGGATCGAAAGCCCACAATCACGCATGTCCAGTCAGGAGCACCTTGATAACTCCTGCAAGCGTTTAAAATGGCTACGTCATTATATGTCACCATTTGCAACAAATAAAATATACTCATGAACTTGGATGAATTTCTAATAATTGAAGGGACCCTAAATGGAATGTTTTTACAGGTGCCCAAGAAGTTATGTTAACCCCGTTATACAGGAAGTTTCAGAGAAAAAGAGAACTGTGTTTGACGCTGCCTGTATCATGACCTGGAACATAACGTTACCTGGATCAAAGAATAATTGAGAAAGGCTAAATTTATCTATGAGCCGATGTCCAGCTGAGCCAGAAATTATATTTATATTTATATCAGTTATTTATACCTATATCAGTTAAAAACATCTGTTGGCAAAAAACAACAAAAAAATTGTTTTCTTTTTTGCTAACAAGTTTCTTTTTTTCCTTTTTTTTTTTACTGAAAAAGGTGCTTACAATGTCATTTCTTGTTTTGACACATTAGTCTTAGGTGGATGTTGGCTCATAAAAAAATGTCATCTTCCTAAATTACCATTTGATACAGGTAATGTCATGTTCTCAAACTTTCCCGTTCTATACCAACCACTAGCGTCACATTCTCACAGAGTTTGAGCTTTCTGCAATGCAGTTTATTTGCCCGGGTCGAAAAACATGGTACTATTTCTCAGGAACACCCGCTACTATAAAAGGTAAGTAGCAATGTTCACGACGCACATTATTTAAGCAGTCCCTTGATACTGATTGCAATAAAGTGAAGGCCAAAGAGAAAGGTGCCTTTTCCTTTATAAGGAACATTCACAACACAAGGAACATGCTATTCTGACTTGCTTATAAGACAGTTGCCCTCAGTCATTGAAAGAGCATTCCTGCCACAGGTTATTAATAAGAGTATCTCTGGTCAATATTTTTGAGTTTGGGATTGCGACTGTTTTCAGCTAAAGCAGTACCCCTGAATAACAGGGTATAACTTTTTTCTTAATATTGTGTGTGGTTTTATAAATATCACGACTCAAAGTTTGGTTTCGACGTCTATGGCAAAACCAAAACTATTTGCTAGAGGGATGGCAACACTGATCATCAGCCGTACGGCTGCAATGTGACGCTGCAAAAGGGCTGCGGTATGCGCCACATCCAATCGACCGCAGCTCCACCGTGACGTGACGTGACGTCACGAGGGTGCTGTGCCAGTCTTCCCTGACTAAAAGCTAACCCACTTGCCGCCCGCTAAAGAGCAGCCGGTCGCATCTTTAAAATCGGTTTTAGTGGAGTATGCGGCTTCACTTCATCATAATATTTCGGCTGTGACCATATTTTGTGCCACTAAAGCAGTGGTTCTCAAATGGAGGTTCGCGGACTCTTTGGGGTCCGCGAAGACAATCTAGGGGTTTACGAAGCCCTGCCTCATCACTCAAGCCCGGCAATAAAAGTTCTTTTTTCAGGTTGAGAAGAAATATTTTAGTTTTTGGGCGTCGTGTGTATGTCAATACCAAAGGGCTACTTCACACTAGCCCTTAGTTTTATTAATTTATTAAATAATTATTATATTTAAGCTATACCTTCCTTTCCCCTCACCACGAACGGGGTCCTCCATCATCTCCGCCGATCCACAAGGGGTCCGCGAAACATTGATGGTTGAGAACCACTGCACTAAAGCGATAGTCGTTTATTTTAATTTCGCTTTCGACTGGGGTTGCCCTTTAAAGCATTAAGTATCCTAGAAAAATAGTAAAAACCTTGACTGCATTTAAACGCTGCTTGCAAACTTCATTTTGCACAGAACCAAGATGAGACACAAACAACTTGCCTTTTTTGAGAGCTGAGAGGCAGGCAGAGCATGGCTGTGATGTCGCCACTGCGAAATTTTAAACAATGGGTTAGTAATGACAAACATAATTAATTAATGCAAATAGCAGAGAATAGAGTGGAGTTAACAACGGAGCTAGAGCTTCGCACCCTACCACTTCCACACAATGCAACGGTGAACAAAGGTGAAGCGCTCCCTCCGAAGATCCGTGCCCTTAATATTAGGATAAATCTACGGGCGTTTTCAGTTCTCACACTTCTCATTGGCAACGTCGGAAGGAAACGTAGCTCGTACCCATTAGGCGACTTGAGTTGACCACAGAAAGAGATCTCATACTTCCAGTCGCTCCGAGACGTGACGCCGTGCTTGGCTGAAACGCAATACATATTTGCACGCATGAAGCACTGAACCTAGGCCACTTATGTCTAGCTACTGCTGTTACATGTACCAGATGGAAGGTGTTCCACTCACTAAAATTAAACTTAATTAATCCCCACGGTGTGCCCAGATTTCATCAGAGTTGTAGTGTGCATCATAAAATTGCTTCAAATGTTATAACAAATGAAACAACCATTTCAATGATTGCCTATAACAGTATCCAAAAAGCAAAACGGAAAGAGCTGAAAAAAAGGAATGACTAAGAGTTGTAAACAGTTGCATCAGATCGCGTCTGGTGGTGTACGATTTTCAACTTGTGTGCAACGAAGGATTGCCAACTACCAAGTCTGCAACAGCTAATTACCAAAAGCTATAGTTCATGCACTTGTATGTGTAGTACGACCGATCGCGTTCTGTCTGCTTGAGACGGCTTATGACGTTGGGGCACGTAGAAAACACTGGCACAAGGGTGCCATTCATCAGGAAGCCCTGGAGGCTGGAACACTTCCCGACTTGCGTATAACTAGATTCAAGATTTTTCAAGTATTTGCGACAATAGATCTACCCACTATCTATGAGACATGGCTGCTCACAAGATTGTTGGGATTATTGCAAGTCCACAGTGAAAGAATTATGCACAAAAATTCAGCAACTGAAGTCCCCGCGTGGAGCTTCTGCTCTGTCAGCTCGCACTGCCCTGCCCTGTACACGCTGCACTCCGAGGAGAACGAATTGATACGACCTGTTTTTAACCGGAGCGTGAGGTGGGAGATGGGCATACGAGCTTACCGGTAAGAAAAACGGCACTCCACCGTCGCCCAAACGCAAGAACGTCCGCAGTCGGGGACAATGCCGTGATGCATTCCTGGAGCCACCTGTTCTCTTCCTTCGCCGCTTTCTTGTCGGGTTCTGGCTCGAAGCTTTCTACGGGCCAGTCCCAGGCCTCGTGGTACGTCTTCTTGTTTTCTGAAAGACAAAATGCAGAGAGAAACTACTACGTACCTGCCGCATACTTTTTGGTGCCATTCGGACAAAACAAAGACTGGTTCACACATTTGCGTCCAAGTCTGCTCGGGTGCGTCACATTTTCTTCTAACCGCTTGTGACGAGAACAGACTGGCACAAACTGTCTGACAGCCCTAGGAACTCTGCCTGCGTCGTGGCCTCTGAAATTCTTGGTGCGCAAAGCCATCCTTTGGCGCTTCCAAACGCTCGTTCTCCCAGCAGGAGCGCATAGCACGTGCTTCTCCAGAGCTCTGCAAGGCGGTTCTGATACAGAGCCGGCATCAGCATCTCCAAGATTAAATGTGCGCATGTGGTATAGACCTCGTAGTATCGTTGACACTTTGAAGGAGGAGGCGCGCGAGCGCATCGAGACGCGATTCAAGTGCAGCTCAACTTGTGCGCTGGTTCATGCTTTCTTCCACCCAGCCTTTGCTAAGACGCGGCTTCTAGCAAGACCGCTCTGATCATTAGTAAATGGTAGGAGAGATCATCGCACAAAATTTCATCGCGGCGAAAGGGCCCAAGTCGTCAAAGCCCTACCGATAACAAAGTCGCGACAAGACGTTGTTCGAGGAACACTTGAGAGAAGCTCGAAAAACGACAGAACAGAGACGACATGTAAAATTAAAGAAAGATGTTACGAAGGAAACAACCTAGTTTGAAGCCCCAAGCAAATGACAACACCAAAGAACCCCTTTTTCCTCCTATTTAGTAATGCGATCTGCGAAAGAATAATGAGCATAATGTTTCACTCACTCAGTTTGACAAAAAAAAAATATAGAAGCATTTTCGGGGAAAATGTTTGTTAAACCTCGTTATCGACTCGCCAGTTTTTTTTTTTTTTTTTTTTTCAAAATGCTTGGACATGCAGTTTGTCTGAAAACAGTCGGGCGTGTGTTTATTCTATGTCTCTTCCGGTTTTAGAAGAACAACACTCAGGTTTCAGCCTACCACTTCCTTGAAAGAGTAATGTGTGTAGTGGTGAGAAGGGCAACGAGTATGATTCAGACAAATGAGTACATTTTTACTATCCAGGGAGCTACCCAAGCAGACCTGACAACAATGGTTTGCAGGTCTAAGCCAAGCATCACCGCCTAACAAAAAGAGTTGCGAGTCATTTTTTTTCTCCCTATGTCAGTCTCCCCCAGCAAATTGAACGGCATGCCAAGAATCTTGAAGGATACGTCTTTGTACATATTTTTGTGTACAGATCATTCTTTCACACTGGGCTTGTATTCTGGCAGTGTAATAACAGACCATTCCTCACAAATAATTCAAGCAGTAAAACAAATTTTTGCAGATCACTGACAGCCATGCAGCTTCATCCGCCATCTTGGTCCCCTCGTCCCGACTCTATGGCTTTGCTTTACCATATCTGTATTCTCACTATGACGACGATGCAACTGGTAGGCCCACTTTTGTTTCGGTTGCTGCTTGTCTCGGGAATCCGTAACTTAAGTAAAGAAGGGTTTATCGCGCATGTCGGTACAGACATTTTTTAAACAGCTTTCATCTCTCGAGTAAAGAGATCTTTAACAAAAACCTTCGCAAGGTGGCACCTTGCACCGTGCATCCTCTATCGTTTGCGATTTATTTTAGGAATGAATAGCGTGGCAGTAAACTGTTATGTTCACAGACATGAACTCTTTCAGTGCCATGCCCATTGGCCATCGATCCCTTGCATTCAATGGCCAGTGGCACTACGTGTTCCTGCGCGCCAAAATTTGAATTTGGTGCGCAGGAACATGTTGTGCCGTCTCGTGGATAGCTAAGAAACTACACGTTTGATTTTTATTTCATTTCACTTTTTCTCCCAAGCTGGTAAGCAATCAGGAATAAATCTTTGCACGATGGTGGCACTTGTCAGACGTGGCGTACTGCTGACATTAGAGATCGCTACAAAGATAGGCCTGATCGCACAATTTCACCGCTCTTGCTGCTTGTTTTTTGGATGGCAGCAGCAGTGAGGACTGTGGATGATGTTGGATCATTAGCTCCTACAGTCACGTTTCATTTTTGAGGCGCATAATGTCGACAGGTGCTCGTTGGAGAGCGTCGCTCTAGCTTTCTAGGCCGTCTTGAGCCGGGGTACACATTTTGTGTGTGTTGCAAGCTACAAAAACACCAGCAGAGGAGATGTTAAAGCTGTGCTATGACAAACTAATGCTTTGTGCAGAAACAAAAGTTTTCCAGGAGGGCACGCACCTCTGCATGCAACAGCATCTTTGAATGGCATGACGCCACAAAAACACATTTGCCAACAGACAAAAGAAAAAAAAAAGATAGCAGCTTTGTTTAATTTAGTTGCACCTCCTGCACCGGTGCAGAAAAGTGTAGGGCAGTGTAATCCCGGTCGTATCTCGATACACACACCATAACTACACCGCCCTACACTTCTCTGCACCGGCGCAGGAGGTGCACGTGAATCGAACGAGCCTAGTGTAAACTTTTTTTTTTTTTTTTCAAAGAGCAGCTTACTGGCTACATTTTCAATTATCATAATTAGCCATATGTTGAATAGTTAAAAAAAAAGTTTTGTGCATTTTTCAAAAATAGTTACTTTTCCCCATGGTACAGTAAGAGCTAATAAACGTAGGGCCCGGCGAGACCCCAGACCGGAGCCAATGGGGTTGCAGCACGAGCCAATAAGAATGCCGAAGTGCCAATCACGAAGCAAGCAGCATGAACATAATAACCCACACCCTGCATCTGTCAACGGGCGTGTTAAATCAGTGCTCTGGTTGGCGCTCCGTCCACGAAACGGAGAGGAATGGCACCGAAAACTGACACTCAAGAATGTTCTTCGTGCAACAAGTATTTTTCAGAGCGCGAGTGACTTCTTGGCGCTCCGCGACGTCACAACCAAAAACAAGATGGCTGTGCTGTCTCCGAGACCGTCGAGATGAAAGGCGTAGCCAGACCGCTGCCTCTTTTCAGTTAATTAGTGCTTTATCCAGGAGGTAAAAACGTTTCAATTTGAAATCTAAGACAGCAATTAGCATTCTTAAAAAGGTTTTTTCGTGCATCTCGCCTGAGAATGAATTCACCTATCGAACGGCAGCGTGCCGATAGCTCAGCGACACAAAAGTTGTCAAAATGACGGCATTCAGATCGGTGCCTTTTTTAGAATGCTTAGCCCAGCGAATCAAGATACTTTGATTGGAAAGCCAAAACATCAGTTAGCGTTGCGGAAAAGGTTTGTTCATGCATTTCGCCTGAAAATGAATTGACATGTTATCTATTGATCAGTGGAGTGTCAGTATCGGCGTAGCACATTGATGAATTCTGTCTTGCGCTGCAAGAGGGCACGGAACATCTTACAAGTTTGACAGCTTCTTGCGTCAACAAACGGGCTCAAGAATGCTGTCTTCAATTTAAATCTGAACAGCGTGCATGGTTAATAAATAGATCGGTCAATGTAACTCTCCGCATGTATGCTCGAAGCGAGTCTTCAAACCTTTCAGGAATATTGAAACATTTGTAGCAACTTCCTAATGTCATCATCTTTTTTTTTACTTTTTTTTTTTATTTTACACTACTTTATCTTTGAAATAATTTCGGCTTCTGCCACCCGTAACCACGAGATGCCGGGTGCGTCATAACCATGCTGTAAGAAGTGGCTCATGCGGCTCGTCGATAGTTTCGATGTGTCGAGCTCCCGTACGCTATCCTCCATTTAGTTGCTGCGCTCGGAGTATGAAACCCGGGGCGTCGGAGTAGGAGTAAAGGAGCGCAAGTTAGCCTGCTTCTTGCGCAGGGGTCACAGTGACGTCAGAACGTTAAGTTTTGATTGGGTCTGATTAAAAGAATAGTGGGTAGACATCAATGCTAGCTGCCTTGACGTCTACCCACTATCCTCCAACCAGAGCCAATCGGAGCTCAGTGTTCTGACGTCACCGAAACCCCTGCGCAAGAAGCAGACGGACTTGTGCTCCGCAGAGATTGGTAACAAATCTGAGCGATGAACTTACTCTTCATAAATATCAGCAGCGAAGTTTGCGTAGTAATGCGGAGCGCAAGTTCGTCTGCTTCGTTTGCAGGGGCTGTGGTGACGTCAGAATGCCGAGCTCTGATTGGCTGATTAATGGACTATGGGTAGCACTCGAAGCAAGCTGCCTTGAGGTCTACCCACTATCCTTCACTCAGAGCCAATCAGAGCACGGCGTTCTGACGTCATCATAACCCCTGCAAACGAAGCAGACGAACTTCAAACTTGCGGCACTCATTCATTCCGAAACCAGTCGTAAGTTTCAATCACGCTGCTGTGCAAGGACTAAAAGGGGCACGAGATTTTAAAAGCAACCTAAAATTGTGTGTTCTACGTCCAAACAAAATTAAACCGAACATGTCAATCGAACTCAACAAATATTTGGTGAAAGCGTTTGGTCAGCCACATTTGGTTCAACATCGAAAACGCAAAATGTTGAACATCTTGCGAGTAAGTTAGCGTACCTTCGGCCTCCTCAGCATTGGGGAACAGAGTTGACTTGACTATATTGAGGTCGCTGATAGAAGCTAGGCGAACAAGTTGACACGACATGGCGAGTTAGTGTGGTTGATTGAGAATTTTAACACATCACGGGTCACAAATGCTGGTAGCGGGTGAGCGCACCGCACCTGACTGGAACACATAAACAAAAATCTGTCTCGTTTTGACTTGGCTCGACTTCTCTCCACTTGTTTACTTATCTACTACATTAAATCTACTCCAATAAAATATTTTTGTAGCTAAAAATATTAGACTAAATTTGTTTGAAAATACTAATTATTAATGTTTTTATGATCACTTTTGTCTATCACAAGACCGCGTTTTATAAACCTGCATTACTAAGAAAGTTAGATAAACAAGTATAAATAAACAGTCAGTTTCTGGTTTCTAAAATAAGCTTATTTTATTAGCTCATAATTTTATATTGTTTTTGGTGAAAACAGTTTGTACATTGGCCTTCCAGTCCAGGTGTCGCAACATGCTCACAAAGCTTCAATGCTAGGTCAACAACGCGATCTCCACCCGTCTTAATTAATGATCACGTGATCTGGAGAAGCAAGATGTCGGGTCTGAAGTTCAACATCCCTCGTAAGGAGATGGACAAGGTGTCAGTGCCCAACGGAGACATCAAAAAGACCAAAGAAGAGACCCCGGCCGAACTAGAGAGCCAGTTCATCCTCCGCCTCCCAGCACCCGTCGCCGCGTCGCTACGTGCCGCGGTGCGATCCGGTGTGATGAACCTCAAAGACCGGCTCACCATACAGTTGGAGTCCGACAACCGCCACGGCACGCTCCGATTTGACAGGTATAACCACCTGGTGACACCCGTTTTTTAGATTAAGGCACGGTATATCGCACCTGTCAAACGCAGCATCATTCGTGTTTCTGCAGCTCGAAGACGTTTTTTCACGTGCGTTACACTGTGTCGAGTTGTTCGATCGGTACTGCACGTTGCAGACCCCGGCGGTTGTACTAACACTGGTCAAATCTCTGAGGTTTGCATTGTTTAGGCTGGGAAGGTTGAAATAGTGATCTCTAAGTCATCTAGTCCGATATGGCATTGGATTGGGGTCTTGTCGAACCAGCACAGCCTCTCAAATACAATTGTTATCCTATTACAATGCTGGCATTGGGAATGCTTTGAATCAAAATCAGAATAGAGGGCTTGCCTAAAATGTAACAGTTCAACCGTGCACACTAACGTACATATAGGGTGTCTGAAACAACCATGCTCGTTCTAAAATGGGCCTTAGAAATTGGTGCCTGCTTGTAGCAATCTTAACTTTTTGTATAAGGTGTACTTGTCAGGTCGGTTTTATCATGTATAATTACAAAGCATAGCTTCCTTTCTGTAAAAAATAGGGCCAAAAATGTAGAGCCCTTCCACTTCATGTGAAGATGAAGGACCGAAGCTGTAATATTTACGACGTCTAGGACGATGCCTAGAGGAAGATGCGTAGGACGACGTCAAAGACGACTTCTTGGACAACCTCAAGGACGACGCCTGAGGACGACGTCTAGGACAACCTCAAGGACAACCTCAGGGACGACGTCCAGGACAATCTCAAGGACGGTGCCTAGGACAACGTCAAGATGACTTCTAGGATGACCTTGAGGATTCAGCCTTTCCACTCTGGTGAAAACCAGAGTGCAAAAGCTGGAAAGGTTGCTGCCGTCGCTCATAGATGGCGGTAGCTGTCCAGAGTTTAGTGTCAACATTTGTAGGCCCGCGGACACAATACTGGGGAAACTAGTCCTTGACATTTTCACTGTAAAAACTTGTGAAGATCAGTGGTGGACGGCGACGCAGACTGCCGAGTCCAGTGGCGGAGTGCGTTTTGTCCCAAATATTTATAGATGGCACCACCTCCTTGCTGACCGTGGTTTACTAAAATAAACAATCTTTTTGTAATGTACCAAAACTTGAAGTAAAAAAAAAATGTTGCATAATGACGTCGCTTTTGCTGCCGCCGGATTTCGTTTGTGTGTCGTCTGCTTTCTTTCGCTGGTCGGCTACACATATCCCCATGCCATCTATTGATATGTGTGACGAACCCACCCTGCCACTTGACTCTTGGTCGTTGCAGTCCACCGTTGACCCTGGCAAGATTTTTGGCCCCATTTTTTTTTACAGAAAGTGAGCTACGTTTTGTAACTTTACAAGATAAAATCAGCCTGCGAAATACACCTTTGATGAAAAATTTAGATTGCTAAGTGCAGGCGCCGATTTTTATAGCCCATTTTTGATCGAGCCTGGTTTTTTTGGACACCTTATGCATGGTGTACAGATGATGCCATTCTGTTGTGCTGGTGGTTATTGTTTACTTGTTAGTGAGCGCGTTGGTAATGATATAAGTTTAGAAAGAGTTATATACATAAAGACAGGGTACGGGACAACACATCTTTCAACTTTCAACAAACAAATGATTTATTGCCGGACGCTTCGCCCTCGGAACTCCACTGTTGGAGAGGGAAATTTAAAAGGGGGGAGAAGGGGAAGGAGGGAGGCAAGACAAGGCCCCGGGAGAAAAACAGGGGGAGAGTAAACCGCAGAGACAGCGGGAAGGAAGGGATGTCACCTCTCTCTCCGTCAGCGACTCGCTGTCGGAGAGAGAGGTGACATTTCTGAGACCGAAGTTGACGACCTTGGCGGGCCGGGCGAGTGGTTCTTGCTCCTGAGAGGGAAATCGGGACGCCCTCCTCCCTTCCCTTCCTTTCCGCTGTCTCTGCGGTTTACTTTCCCCCTGTTTTTCTCCCAGGGCCTTGTCTTGCCCCCTCCTTCCCCTTCTCCCCCCTTTTAAACTTCCCTCTCCTACAGTGGAGTTCCGAGGGCGAACCGTCCGGCTATAAATCATTTGTTTGTTGAAAGTTGAAAGATGTGTTGTCCCGTCCCCTGTCTTTATGTATATAACTCTTTCTAAACTTATATGGTTATTGTTACTTGTCGTTTGTTTTCGAGTACAACTTTGTGTAAAATTACCATGGTAAAGGTAATTTTACACAAAGCTTTAGGTGACCTAAAGTGCCGTTCTTTCACTGTGGTTCACACCTGGGGCACATTTCAACTAAAAACAAAAGTTTTTTCCTTAGATATCTTGCACCAGGTGGTGCTGACTTTTTTAATATTTCACTCCTGCTAAAACTGAAGTTTGTAGTTCCCCAACAAATTGCACTCTGTGCTAACTAATGGAACAATGTGAATCTAAATTTATGTTTTCTCATAGACCATATTGCTTTTATAATTTGTTTTAATAGAAACAAAAATTAGTGTGAAGACTCTTAATTTTTATGGCATTGTGACTGGTTCCTGAAAGGCTGCAACGTCTCTTATTTTCCTTCGATAATAACTTAACAGCCATACACATTGGGTGTTTGCGCCAGCAAGATCTCGCGCATGATTGCACAAACATTGACTACTTGGGCGGAGGTACCTCGCGTTTCAGCCACGGGGCGTCGGGGACATCAAGGATGAAAACAACACCTAGGCAGTCTTCTTTGCCGACTGACGTCTAACGCAAAACAGCGTGATCTCTATTGCGGCACTGGTAGCGAACGATTCTCAAAAACAGGTCCTCGTAAAGTCTGTACAGCATAAAATATAAACTTCTAAACATGTATGGGTAGAATAGAATATAAACTTCTAAACATGTATGGGTAGGCAATTTCAATATTGACATCCTGGAAGCTGCCATCTTTGCCTACTGGGCTGTGGACTGCGTTCTGAGCTTGCACAGCACCTCTCTTCCGCGAAATATCTCTTGCTGCTCAAGCGTCCGCCGCTCCGCAACTTTGCGTTTCTCGCTCGGGTAATAAACAAACAGTGGAACCGTGTAATGGTCTGTGGACCGTAGCCGGAAAAATGTGGTAAGTTTTATCTGTGGTGCTCTGCTGCCACCTATTTCCAAAGAATTGGTGCCCCCACTGATGTGATTGCTGCGCCGATTGCGCCAAACTGCGCCAAGGGGCTAACCCTGCTACATCTTGCTCCATTTCGCCAAAATATGGGTAATCTGCGCCAAGCCTGTGCCAAAGGACCAATTTCGGTCGCCTTTCAAAACTGAAACTAAACTGAGTACCGTAATTGAGCATGCGTGAGCTAGGTGGCGCAAGCGGCCGCCCGACAGAAAGTATGCTGCATCAGTCGTCCATCCGGTCTTGCATTGTTTTTCCCGTCGTTTCTCATTTCGCTCTCTCGTGGGTCTTGTCTCGGATCCTTTAAAAAAAAAATTAACGATAGATGCAAGCGTATATGGACGCCCCGACGCTGGCTTGCCGGGTACCAACCATGCCGTCATGTTGTAAAACGAAACCATGTTTTTGCGCCGCGGGAGTTACTTTGTGTTTGTGACCTGAAGCAGTCGCTTCTGAAAGAACTGGCGTGGCAAAGCTATTTTTGGTTCCTGCCTTCCAGTCACCGTGGTTACATGACGTCGGGTGTTCCCGTCCACACATTGCTGCAGATATGGCGCTTTCTAAACTGAAACGAAAATACCGCTGCAAGGTAATCAGCAATCCTGTCCTTGTTTAAATGGAACGCTACTACGAAAATTCCTCTTTAACTCAAAGACTGCTGTGTCGAAGTATTGATTACCTAGGTTTCTCTCGGTGGGCTTTCTTTTGAGAGGGGCCCCGGTACGGTGAAAAGTCTGTCGCAAAAGAAAGTTTAAGGCGCAATTCAGCTAAATCAAAAAAGGCAATGTCTGCACGCTGAACCCGCACAGCGCGCTTGTTTATCTCGAGTTCAGTTGTTGCGCAAAGCGCTCCAAAAACTTTTTGACCCTGATTCGCGATGTCTTGCATTGATGCGCTCAGGTTCTTTTTTTTTTTTTTGCGTGTGTGATTAGCTTTATTGTCCTTATTTTGTTTGCGCTTTTTAAGCTTTTAAATTAGCTTGTGCCTACTGACCTGGCAAGCACGCGCTGCTAAGCTTTTTTTTTGTATGCTGGAACGTTACATTTTGCCTACAATTTTGGGGATCAGATGGCGACGGAGCGGAGTGGCAGAGTTTCGGTTTCTATCGAACAGCCGTCTCCGCTCGTACAACGAAGCGCGTGCACCTGCAAGCTGCCGAAGTTGCCCTCACGTGCATGCGAACATGATTGCACGACAGAGGTACCAGCCGGGACGCTTGCAATCCATTGCTTTACATTTGCTTGCTTCTGACAAAAATCTGGCATGTCGGGAACCAGTAAAACGGTGGGAGACGTTTTGGAATTGCTCGGCAACGCCTACAGCACTGTACACTTGTGGGGTGTCCCAACGTCTCTTTGGAGACATTGAAAGTGGACATTCATTACTTGCCGAAAGCTAAGCGAGGCTTGCAGCAAGTTTCAAAAAGCAAAAGGAAAAGCACCCGCCAGTCGTACTGCACCTTTTTCATATGTACAGTTTCGTACTGCACTGCAGTAGTTACATGTTTCATCAGTCGGATACTGCTTCAATTTAATATATTATATTATATAACTAGTGAACTTTATCCTTTCATATTTACTACTAAGCTGGTCATTTTCAAATAAATTTAATACGTGCGGTTTGGTTCTTATTTATCTATAGCGGGTACATATATATGTATAATTTAACTGAAGCGTTGCAAAATATGTCGTGTCATTGGCATTTCGTTAACATGTTGAAAGACTTCCAGGTGGTCTAACTTGACTATAATTTGTTTATTGCGGCGAGCGAAGTGCCCTTCCTTTGTCCAGCACTTAAAACAAATATTTTTATTTTTCTAAGAATATCTGCTCCAAAGGCCACTTTTGCTGCTCCAAAACTATGTTCTGGCTGCTCCGAAAGGTGCTCCAAAACGGCTTAGTCCAATCACATCACTGTGCCCCCTGTCGGAGACTCGGTTTGAGAATTTCTCGGTAGGAAACCCGAGAAACGGCACCAGTAGGAAGAATAGGAGAGAGGCTTCTTTGTCCAAACTTGAAGACAAAATATAAGCCACGATAGGCTTGAAAGGGATGTTTAGGGAGCTTAATCTTGGTCGCAGCACTTTAATAGGGCCAAGAGGATCTAGCGCTGCCACGGTGTTTGGGACGCGTCTCCGACCGGTGTGTTTAGCGTCCCATTGCACCCACGCGTCACAAGTGATCCCGAAGTGGCCGCAAATGACGTCACGAAAGCCGGAGTGTCATGTTGTCGGATGTTGCGATCCCGCCATTTGGTCGCAGAAGTTCCGAGCAAACTCGAGTGTCACCGTCGTTGCGGCGTCCCAACTCCTGGCTGCCGAAACTTTCGTAGACTGTCAAGTCGGAGACCAACCCTCAGTAAAATGGGCGTCTGCCGCATGCTTTACCGCGGCTGCAACACTGCCAGGATCACAGCCGACGACAGCATGACAGTTCTGACGTTGTCAGGCGGAAATACAGGGACTACTTGTTTTGGACGCGGTTGACACACCAATTGGGGACATGTTTCAGGTGCCATAGTGCCGCGACTCAAAGCGTTGCTGCCCACCTATGCCAAGCCCACAAAGCTTCCTATCGAAAAACTGCCAAACCAGGAATTTGGAAAAGGGCGGTTCGACTAGATCTCCGAAAAGAGTAAACACGAGAGGGGACGAAACGCAGACACGTAACAGACGCAGAGCTGTTGCGTCTGTGTTTCGTCCCCTTTTGTGTTGATTCTTTCCGAATGTTTAGCTACTTACTAGCACACCTGTTTTCAATGCCCCGAACCGTCCGACGTCGCCCTCCAAACCACGTGGTGCCCAGGTGGGCCCTGGCGGCGCGGGTGCTGGACCTGCCTTCCATCATCGAGTCCCACAAGACGCTGGACAAGAAGACCTTCTACAAGGCGGCGGACGTGGCCCAGATGATGGTGTGCAGGGAGGAGGACGAGATGCCGCCTACGGATGATGAGGAGTCGCCTCGCAAGAAGGACCGCAAGGACAGCAAGGATCGCAAGTACCAGAGCCCCCACGGCATCACCCCATCCCTGAAGAACGTCCGCAAGCGCAGGTTCCGCAAGGTGCTCAAGAAGAAGTATGTCGACTTCCCCGAGATCGAGAAGGAGGTGGGCACCTTTTTCCTCAGCTCTGGTTTTGCAACTCTTTGACTTGGCGTGTTTTTTTTGTTTTTTTTCTCTGTAACAGTTGTTATTGCGTAGGTTTCACGGTGAATCTCCGGGCATATTTCTAGTTTGGTGACGACACATGTGACATGACAGTGCCATGTGGCTTTGCTTTGTTGTGCGGCACCATGGTTTCACGCAATGTGACAGTGTCGCATGATGTCACAGTGTTGTGTCATCCGACACACGCTGTCAAGTAACATTTGGTGGAGAAATCCCTTTCCTAAAGTTAGCGGGGATATGCTTAGGGGCCCTGCAAGCACTTTTTTACTGGTTTTTAATTTGCACCAAACCCGAGCGCACTGACTGTATACCCCGTTTCACCTTATGTTATACCGCAGCGAAGGCTAGAAGCGCGAGCTCATAGCGTTGGCAACTGCCCTTGGTGCACGTGAGCTTGTGCCGCCGAGATGTGCCATGGAGCAAGGAGCTCGCGCTTGTAGCCTTTCCTGCGGTACAACACAAGGTGAAACAGAGTATAGTAACTTAATGTAACTTTTCTTTTCTCGAAATTCACTTTATTTTAAAAGTTATAGGCAAAATAAAATTACAAAAACAAGCAAAAAATAACCTCCCTCATGACGTCCTTGGTTGCTTGAGTGGCCGTGAACTAGAGGAGGGATATAGTGAGCTGAGCGAGCGCTCATGACTGCTGCACTGCGTGTCAACGGCGCGTGAGGGCGCCACTAAAGCATGTTCTGGATAGGCTGTATACAGCGGACAGCCAGAGCGGCTGTCATTGCATTTGCTGCGCGATTGAACACTAATTCGGCATGACACTTCATTGGCCACAAACGACAGCAAACACGGGGTAAAGATCAGTTCAGAAAGGGAGCCACTTAGCGCTGCTGTACCGCGAAATGGCCAAAACGCAAGACAAAACTACTCGCTGAAGGCCTTCGGAACGCTCGGAGCCGGTCGGATCCTCCAGTCCATAAACGACCGCAGCACCGCCGCGTACATCCGGGATTTTTCCGTGTCGGCGCCTAATCCCACTACTCTTTTCTAGTATGCGCCGCCTTTTCCACCGCTTGGTGGCGGGTATGTCGACGGGTCATTTCTTGTTTCCGTACTTTATAAACTGCATTTGTTTCTTTTCCAATCTAAAATACTGAACAAAAATTACTTTTATAAATAATTTAGATGGTTCGTGCCACTTATGTCTTGTATTTTGACTAAAAAGAAGCTTTTAGCGGCTCTGACCAGTAGTAAGCCCAGGACCTAAGACGTCACATTTCGCGCGCTTTCGGTACCGCGGGTCGCCCCCGTTGGTGGAGGAGGTTTCTGCGTCGTACAGTTAAATTATGATGCACCGATATTTAGTTACTCTCTCCGTGCCCGCTGGCTTGCCCGAACCCCAAGAGACGTGTAAACCGCAAAAAAGGTAGACGCTTAATTACGATTGCAGGGCCCCTTTAAATCATTTTCCCGCTAACCCCCCACGACTCATCGTGGGGAAATGCTCCATGCATTTCCAAACCATGACGGTAAGTTAAGATGGAAAATGCCTGTATGCTGTGTGATTGTGTGCAGCGCCTTTGTTGTTGCTGCAGATGGCATCAGTGTGTTCTCTCATCCTAAAAGATTCTGGGAGATTTTAAAGCACTCAGTTGTAAGCAGTCGCAAGTGCATGAGCCAGCCTTTAGCCTGTCGGCGACTAGTGTTGATTCAGCGCCGAGGTGGCACTGCGCCGTACGTGTGGCCTGGCCCCTGGAGATTGTTTTTGCTCTCCCACCCACAGGTCAAACGGCTCTTCCGGATGGACAACGAAGCCATCGGCATCCGGTACGAGGTCGTCAACGTTGACGATGAGAAGAACGACGGCAAGGGTGGCCAGGGGGAGCCACACGTGAGCGGAAGCTTCGGCTCGCCCTCCGTGAGCGCGCTGCTCAACAGTAATTCACAGAGCATGGACGTCGGAGAGCATGACCTCTTCGGTGAGGCGCTCAGCAGCTCCGACGAAGACGATGTCAACATCGTTGACTCCGCCGGCGAGGAAGACCTTTCGTCAAGGTCCAAGCGGCCGACGTTGTCCAAACATGACGTCTCTGCTGTCGCGACTCCGGACATGGTCACCGCGTTCCAGCGGGGGATGCTGGGTCCCTCCGGAAATGCCAAAATGGCAGCCTCCAGCATTGGGGGCGGCAGCAGCAGCGGCAGCAGCGCCGCTGCCACGGCTGCCGCGACGAGCTCTCTGGTCGAGGAGTACATAGACGACCCGGACTTCAATGGGAGCAAGGCCATCGGGGAAGGGTTCTCGAAGAAGGGGGATACTGAAGACGACGACGCAGACGAACCTGAGCAGGACAACACGGCACTGCTGGACCGGCTGACAGAGCTGGAGCGGGAGATTGGGCAGCTGCAGGAGCGGAGGCAGACCCAGGAGCTGGAGATTGCATCGCTCGAGAACCAGGCCCTCAAGCAGCGCTTCCAGAACATCATCAACGCGCTCAAGCTGGAGGAAAGCGAAAAGCAGCGGGAGTACGACGAGATTGTGTCGCTGCTGCACCAGTGATTGGTTGGCACTTCAGCGTGGAAGTTTATTCATCATTCTAACATACTGTATATAACTTCATGGACGTTACCGGGGTGTTTGTGCAAAAGGTTTTAATAAAAAGCTTCAGTGGAATCGTTGGTTGCTCAACTTTATATTTAGGAAATAGCTGTAAAGTTATTACATAATTTATTTTTGAAGGTAGTGGCTGCTAACCCAACAGCACAGACATACATAAACACAACTCTTATTTTGCATTGTAAAAGAAAATAAGCTTGTTCATGGCTTTCCAGATAACTACTGTGGCATGCTGGTAATGGAGTGTGTGAAATGTCAGTAATTTGCATGATTTGTATTTTACAATGATTAAAATGTTATGATAGTCAAGTCTTGTAATATACAGGAGTGCTATATGTTACGGCGAATCATAGTAGCTGGGTCCATGCTGCTTATGCTTGGTGTACTCGTCTGTCACCCAGCCGATGGTTGAACCGAACCTCCGGAAGCGCTGCACATTCCCCTTGTGCTTGGCAAAGCCTGGTGTTGATAGGACGTAGCGCGGACTCGGCATTTCGAAGTCCTCAAACTTGTTCATCAACATCACGTTCGGGGGCGCCACGTCCCGCTTGCACTGGTGGTGGCAGCGCGGCAAACCAAAGTCACGGTAGTTCTCTGTAGGTCCGAGAGGTGGTGCTGGCGACCTTAGCCGTTCGGGACTGGTGTAGCGGTAGAAGTCCTGTATCTCACTAGATCGTATTGACTCGTCCGTGGGGCCACGATTTCGCTGCATGGTGTGGTGGTAATCGTTGCGCTCCGCTGAACGAGAAGGCAGTCGACCGTAGCTTGTATCGAAGCCGAACAGGCCGCGAAACTTCGTCCTCGATTGGCGACCGCGAAGTGGCGACACCTGGGGAGTCTCAGCGCAGTCCTGGCGTCGTTTCGTCTGCTGTTTCCTGTTTCGGTTCAGGACTTCCGCTTTTACGGCTCCTATAAAAAATGCAAAAAACAACAACAACAACAGGTTATTGTTTGTTAAAGGGGTACTGCAACGAAATTCTAGCGCCTATTTTTATTGTCGAAATGTCAACCAGGTTTGGCCACACCACACAGACACCAATTTCTTTTTCGAGAAGAAACGACAACGTTAAATGAATAAGCCGAATGACATCAGTGCCGCTTCGCGGAAGTGCGGCGGCAAGCCGCGTCCACGCAAGCCCTAGCTGTCCTTACTTGGCCGAACCAACACCGTCTGGATAAGAAAGCCTAGTAAGTGCCGAATTTTCTTGCGTCGCTAGAGAAGGCTACCGTAAGCCAGAGATAAGACACGACTAAGGCATCAGCGCTCGGCTAGGAGTCGTGTCCATTCAGTGAGAACACGACTCCTATACCCGTTTTCACCTCAAGAAACAAGCAAGTTTTTGCGTATCGTTCATGCTCGGCGCGAAGTAGTTCTTACGAGATTAGGTTGTCGGAGAAAAAAACGATGCTTTTGGTATTTGGAACGTGTACGTCTTGATAAGATAACATATATCTAATATAGAATACGCCTACATATATTTTAATTATCTACGGAAAGGAGCAAATCAGTAATGCTTTGCGAGGAGCCGGACTTTATTCTTACTACGGTTCTTGAGGTGAAAACGGGTATATAGTCGATAAAATAGTAAGGGTGCAGGCGAGCTGGTGGATGTTAACCATGTCTAATATACCTGAGACGGGTAGAAGGGAACATAAAAGTCGAAGAAACAGACAGGGACAAGGACGACGTCTCAATTGAATATATACTTAGACTGGGGTAGAAAGGAACATAAAAGTCGAAGAAACAGAAATGGACAAGGACGATGAAAATAATCCCTGGAGAAGGGGAACAAAAGGGACAGAGGACAAACGCAAGGACAAATAAGGACAAGGACGACGTCTCAATTGCTTGAGACGTCGTCCTGTCCCTTTCTGTTCCTTTGACTTTTATGTTCCTTTCTACCCCAGTCTCAGGTATATTCAACATGGGTATAGTCGAACGGCTGGCGGCTTGTCGTGTTCAATTTCTGGCCTACGGCGGTCTTCTTTAGCTACACAGGAAAATTCAGCACTTAGGCTTTCTTAGCTAGGCATTGTTGGCCGAACCGGAGTTCCCTCCTTTCCCATGCCTATTACACTCCTGCGGGGAACGGGCATTCCTAACTGCCAGGTCGTAACGCGTTGACGCCACGAAGTGGCGAAGCTTGCAACCACGCCAGCTTTCCTGTGGTTTTGCCCGTGAAGGAAAACCTGACTGAAGGAAAACCTGACGCCACGAACGCGCTGGCGGCGCCGGGCATCCCGAACGCATCACGCTCTTTGATGGCTGTTTTTCGAGCGCTCGCTGGAATCTGCTATTTGGAATGAAAAATATAGCCATCGTTGAAAATACAAACGTGAGTACTGCGTATGGTCAAAACACGTCCCGCAGCATAGTAGACAAACGGCAGCACGTAAAAGGCGACTGCTGGAATTGTCCTATGCTACTCTGTGATTTATAAAAAATTGCAACGAAGTGTAAGGACGGCGGCCTTTAGTCAGTCCATCAATCCGAGCAACATTTGCAGGGTCCCGTTCACTATGAATCGGGACAAAAGAGCCCTAAGCTTTAGAACTTGTTTGTCACATGATTTCTGACAAGGAAGCGGTGGATTTCAGGGTGAAGAGAGCAGTATGCATGGTCACAACGTGACCTCGGACGAACTTGTAATTGACGTACCGTAGTGGGTTGGTTGAGGGGTGTTGAGGCGGTTGTTGAGACGTTTGGCCTTGCCGGCAGTCCTCTCGAGCAGCTCCCTGAAGATCTTTGCTGACTCGGGTTCCTTCGGAAGCGGCTTTGGCGAAAACCTCTTCGGGGGAGGCACCGTTGAATTTACTGCGCAGTATCACGAAAGTCGGTCATGGGGTGCAATAGTGTTGTGCTAATGACGCAGACGCCGTAGGTGAATTCACCTGATAATTATTTCGTATAAATCTAAATGGGTATGCGGGCAAGCCACGCATTGTCGAACACTCAGTCTCTGCCCAGATGCAACGCAAGCAGTCCGTACGACATGCCAAAGTTTCAGAACTAACTGTTGTCTTATTCAAATGTTAGTGATTTTCTTTAAGCTCCAATGGGAAAATGGGGCCCTTTCCAGGCGGCTGAAACGATTCATATCCATGCATTTCACCACTGATCTCAATGACAATTGCTGGATCGCGCTTGCCGCTCCCGCAAGTGAAGCCACCGGACTTCACTCGCTTGGGATACGATTTGCCGTTTTTGCTAGCCTTTGCTGCGGTTTTCCAGCGTGCTGTGGACACGTTTTCTACTCGTTCGTCGTCATTCGCGGAAGAAGTTTTTTGAAGACTCTGTGTATTGTTGAGACTTGCCGTCGTGAACACGTGGAAAATTTTACGAAAGTGCAGTGTCGCAGGAAAAAGGCACAACGCGTCGAAAGGAAGGGCTGCCGGCGTGTTCAAAGCTTCCTTGGCACGCCGAAGTGCCGTGTCTCTGTGCCTTCGCACTCTTGGATACCGACCAAGAATCGACGCCGTGTGGATGTGTTTTGCGAGTGCAATGTGCGTGAAGCCGTATCAAAAGGTACAACTCGTCGAAAACAAGTGTCGCCGGTGTCGCGGCGTGATCAAAGCTTCCTTGGCACGCCGAGTGATGCATCTTTGTGCCTTCGCACGCTTGGATACCGGTCAAGAATTGACGCCGCGCCAAAGTTCTGAACGTGTGTCGCGCGTAGAAGCCTTTAGATCATTTATATATATCGGCCACGGAGTTCTGGATCGTCCAGCTGTTCCGGTGAGTTGCTATCAATAAAAGGGAGAGATCTGTACGTGTTCTTATGTACTATGGCTATGTCCCAAATCTACTCTAATAGATTCCGTGGGAGCACGAATAGGGCAACGTTGTGGAGCCAGGGGGGTTTTCGAAAGCAAAAGTACAAGACAGCGAGAATGATAATCTTTGAAGCGCGGCCGATATGGTCGTGTGCAATCTGCTGACCAATTACAATTAGGCGAGCCGCGCTCAAACGTCAAGTGCAATTAAGTAGGTTGATAATAAGCCAGCACTGATCAGTGACGAGGAGCTGTTGTGCACGGTATTGTGTAAATCGTCTAAGGACGAAAAAAAGACGTACCTTCCCCCCATCTTCCGTCGCTAGTGGACGCTGGATTAAGCTCGTTCCTAAACCGCGAGGGGAAAAGACGCTGATCCAGAGGCACGAACAGCTTCACGCACATTGCACTCGCTAGACACATACACACGGCGTCGGTTCTTGGTCGGTATCCAAGCGTGCGAAGGCACAGAGACACGGCACTTCGGCGTGACAAGGAAGCTTTGAACATGCCGCCAGCCCTTCCTTTCGACGCGTTGTGCCTTTTTCCTGCGACACTGCACTTTCGTAAAATTTTCCACGTGTTCACGACGGCAAGTCTCAACAATACACAGAGTCTTCAAAAAACTTCTTCGGCGAATGACGACGAACGAGTAGAAAACGTGTCCACAGCACGCTGGAAAACCGCAGCAAAGGCTAGCAAAAACGGCAAATCGTATCCCAAGCGAGTGAAGTCCGGTGGCTTCACTTGCGCTGCAGCGAACAAGCGGGGAAGCGCGATCCAGCAATTGTCATAGAGATCAGTGCATTTCACTGATCTCGCGCATCCCCGCCTGGTCGCTGCAGCGTAAGTGCGGCCATCGGACGGCCATCTTGGGACACGGAAAATCGACAGTTTGGAGCGTTGTGGAGGCTGGGCGGCAGCGTGCTAAAGACACATTTTCTGCTCGCTCGTCGTCAATCGCCGAATGAGTTTATTAAAACACCGTGTAAACGGTGAGAACTGCCTTTGAGAACGGGTGGAAATTTGGACTAAAGCGCACCACCGGAGCAAAGAAAGGCGCAACTTGTCAGACACAAGTCTCGCCGGTCTCGCGGCGTGATCAGAGCTTCATTGACACGCCGAGGTGCTGCGTCCCTGCCTTCGCAGGCTTGGATACCGTTCAGGAATCGACGCCGTGTGGATTTGTTTGACAAGTGCATGCCACGTGCGGGAAAACGTATATGCGCCTCTGGAACAGCGTAGCGTTTTACTGTACTCTTACGACCAGTTTTGCCATTGGGCGGTTGGTGAAAGTAGCCAAAACACAGGACAAAAGCAGCCAAAAGGACCCATTTGATTTGTCTTGGCGCCAAAAATGTCGCCGTTTTTTCTAAAAAGAATCGTCATACGAAGTGATAAATTGAGGTTATGCACAGCCTCAATCAACGTGATTAAATGCTCCCACATCTAGAGTAATTGAGGGGAAGTTATTTTAAGAAGCTCCATAGGCACGTCAAATGTGAAGGTCGTTTTCTCTTGCAGCCTTAGCCCGAACTTTAGGTCTCAGAATCGCGCCACAAGGTCGTCCAACTTAATCTGTTTCTCAATTGAGATTTTGTTAGTGAAATTTGAGAATACACGCACTAAGAATATGTATTCGATACTGGAAGCGCACCTTCCGCGAGATGTGGAAAAGGGCATACTCCACAAACGCTCCTGTAAGCAGCCGCTCAGTATCGTGATAGCCGGGAAGTGTGCCTAGAAATAATACCGCGTATCATTTCCGGGCCTGTCAGAAAACAAAAGCAAACAACCAAGTTTGCCAAGAAAGTCTCTGTTGCTTCCGTTTATATTATGTTTGTGAACTTGTAATTGACCGCTTTTTCAGTATCGTGAACATTCTTTATACTAAAAATTCGCCAGAATATAAATTAAAAGTAGTCAGGAAGTAGCCAAAACGGTCAAGGAGCCAACTTAACATTTTTGTGGCCAGACCGTGCTCAAAAGTAGCGTATTTGGCGCAAAGTAGCCACCAACGGCAACACTGCTTACCTTGTAATCCAGTGGCGACGGAAGAGGAGTAGGGCGGTGCGGCGACGGCGACAGATTGCAAACAACCATATAAACCGCGATTAAAAAAAAATCATCTGGCCGTTTTATGTTTTTGCGTTCGAAAATCTACCTTCCTCCACAGCGTTGCACTATTTCTGCTGTCATGTGATCCGTAAATTTCGAACATAGCCGTGGTTAATCGTGCATAGTAGCATTCACTGTTTTTTTTTACCTTTATTGAGCTGGGTGATTCAGAACGCCGGAAGAGGTAGGCGATAACCACCCGTAGCCCCAATTAACCACAGCAAAAGTTTGCAATTTAATGGCGCCTTTAAACGTGTACCCCGGCCGAGCAGCTGGACACGCTCTCACTTGAGGCTCTCTAATTCTTATGGGCTTCGGCGGCCGTCAGTTTCCCATCTAAAATTTCCGAAAATCGACTATCACTTTTGAACAGGATAATGGTTAGTGCTAAAACTTTGGCATCCGGTACGCACCGCTAGCGTTACATTGGAGCGGAAATTAGGTGTTTGTATATATAGGTGGTTTCATCTCAAATCGTGCAGGCAAAAAGGGTCGAATTTTTAATTTCGCTGAAAAAAATATATGTTATGGCGTCGTCTCTAAAAACGCAGTAGCCACAAACCGCAAGTTCGTCGGATATTTTGTTCTCGACTTACGAATTTTAAGAGGCCGAGGCGGAAAGCAGTGTTTTTCACATACGTGGTGGGTCGGATGTTTCGCTCGATCTCCCGCCGTGGATTTTCAGCCCACATTACATGAACTTTTTTCAAGCACTCTCTGAGCACATTTAAAAGTCTCTAATACCATAAAATAATTTTAGGCGTTTAGCTTTTTTTCTGTCAAAATGTCAAAAACGCCCCCTTGGTTAATTGCTGACAAACTTTGACAATTAAATACTGGCGATCTACTTGGGTTACAGCAACATTCTTTATATCTACAGAGAGCCCCAAAATTCTCTTTATATATATTATAAAATGAGCCGGTTGTATGGTATATCCTTTGAGGGACGTTTACGTTAATGTTATGCGAAAACCAAAAAGCACCAAATCTGAAATCAATTTTCTCAAAAAAACAATTTTTTATTTTTTTGTTAAAATGTAGATATGATCGTTGCCTACTCGAAAATCAAGTCGAGAAAGTGTGTATTTTGTTTTTGTTTTATATTTAAGCCTCAATATCGGAAGAACATTGTGTATTGAGGTGTGGTATTAATTAAATGTGAAACAAGCGAGATATAATAAGTGAATCGATATTTTTTTGTGTTATTATTTTAGACAACACAAATAAGTTTCTTGGCTCTGCGAGCTGAACGTTTTCACCAAGAGGTCATGTGTGATGTATTTGTGCTGTGATACTTCAGTCCCCCAATATTGGATGAGAGCAGTTTCACAGCGCTAGCGCTTTCAGCAGAGTACTGGAATTCATCTGGAATGTTTTTGATTGTCTGAATTAAACCTATGCCAGCAAGACTTTTTTATGATTGGGTGTTTTACTGCGTCTATTTTTCAGGAATATAAGAAGAAAAACGCATTCTGCCGCCCTGCTTTTCTTTTGTTATGAACTAATTTGCCAGAGCGGTCGTCAAGGCAATGTTCTTCTTGACAAAAAAAGAAAAAAAGTACGTTGATTAAAAAAAGAGGCAATTTTTATTATGGACCGTTCGTTAGGTAATCTTGGACGCTAAAATTCATGTAATACGTTTAATGCAAAAAAAAAAAAAAAAAAAAAAACACATAAATACGTTTTTTACCTAGTTCCACCTTCGTAGGAGGTGTTACGCGCACCATATGAACTAATTTTGTGGCTTCACAAAATGAGGGCAGGTTAAGATGATTCGCGCGCTTTGAACGATCTCACCTCTATATGATTTTGACGTATCCGTTTGGACCCAGGCATCGACCGCAATCGAAGATACTTCTCGCTGTAAAATCAATATTAGATTGCTTTGACAATGTTCACGTTAAAAATCCACATAAAAAATCTTTCCTTTGTGAAAAAATAAAAAGAAAGTCTATACGGTATGAAACTGAGGGAGAGGAAGAGTAGAACGCGCGGGGGCGTCGGAGCGGCGAGCTCTGATTTGAAGGATTAGTGGGTAGAGATAATGGCTGGCAGCTATAGCCTTTGCGTCTCTATCGTTTGACCACATCAGGCGCGGGCACCGCAACTGTTGTAGTGAAAGAAATACCTAGATTATGTTTTTTTTTGTA